ATATTTACTAATATATTACTATAATTATAGTTCTAAAATTACTAGCTGTTCAGTGATTTCATTGGTGGAAAAATTTTTATATTCAAATAGAAGAATAAAATTTCTAACAAGTGTAACAATATAAAAAAAGGTATCTGAATGTTTCATATTATCTTCAAGTTCAAGTTCGTCGAATAAAAATTTCGTTTAACCAATTCTCTAGTCTAATCTGCATTTAAGTTTTGCGGGTAAAATGAATGTCGAGAAGAGACAAAATTGGAGGGAGATCTCGGGCTTCCAGAGGCAGAAAATTGCTGAAATTTGCTAAAACTTTCTCTTAAAGTTACGAAGAAACAGAGACCGTGGCAGGATATGAATATCTGTTGGAAAGGTTCTGAAACATGATTCTTCATTATTGTTGATGAAAACTGAGATCGAATGAACAATATCAGTTCTTTCTCTTATCAGAAAATTTAAACTTCAGTCTTCTAAAATCAAATTCCTGCGGTTCAGATTTAAATTTGATCAATAAAGTTCTCCTTCTGAATTGTATTAAAATTTACAGGGATAAAGTTCATGTAGACGCGTAAATAAAGTTATCCGAATTAACAAATTAACAAAATAAAAGTAACGCTCAGAAAAACATTCGTTTATCTAAAAATTAGAGAAGGCGTTAAAAAATAGGTCGGAGGGTGAGTTCAATTTGTTAGCATTTTAACGGTCCTCGTGTCTGACAAAGCGACACGTGTCAATAAGATCATTTAATTAGGAATCTCGTTATAGCGAACGGATAACAAAGAAATTGGATGCTTTACGAATCACTGAAACACGCTTGCCAAAAAAAAAAAAACAAACAAAAAACAGAATTACCGTAGCTGTGTTTTTTAAAAGTCATTCGTTTAATTGCAATTTCAGTGTTTATCTGGACAATGAACATCGGTGTTCGTTAAAATGTCGACACGCGATGACACGGTGAAGATAAGAGGAACATTTTTAGAAGTAACCGTGTAGCCATCGCGTGAACAGGGATTCGCGAGGCTATCTTTAGACTTGATTTACACTGACCATTCATTTTATGGTGTAGCCTCAATTTAACTGCTATTTAGTATGCTGAAAGTGGTTATAGTTCATAGAAGTCTTGAAAAACTTTATTTATAACAGTTCGTTGCCTTATGAAAAACTTTAAAATAGAAACGAACTTAGAAACTGTAGTTTGTATAGTTTTCTAGAGACTTTTATGTCTTCTATTTTCCCCACCGCCATATTTAGTGATAATTTTACTTTTCTAGGGACTTCTATATCTTCTCCTTTCTTCCTACTACCATGTTTAGTGATAATTTAATATTCTAACCAAAAAAGTAACTAGCAATCCGAATTATTTACTAGAACGCGAAATAGTGAAAGGAAAACAACTCCAACATGCCTCGTATGATGTGCGTAATTCGAAGATAAATGGGATTTTATCCCCGTACGTGTAGCACGCTTGTAATCTTTGCATTCTCAATTTCACTGTTTGCTTTGTCCAACTCTGAAACAAGGGAGCGGCCCCCGCAACTTTTCAACAATGCGGGTCACGGGTAAACTTCATTAAACGTGAAAACAAATTTCCTTTTTCCGTAACCAAAACTGGTTCACACTAGTAAATCATGATAGAACGGTGAACTGATATTGCTTGCAGACAATTTTATTACGGGGTAACCGTACACCTCTGTGCTGTTGGGTTTTTCTCAGAACTGATTACAAGTTCGACGTTTATACATCAGTATGCCAGTCAATTTAGTAACTTCCCTCCGTAAACCCACACATACGATAAATCTAATAGCATTTCCCGTTTTAATCGAAATTGTATAATAAATATGATAATCTGTCGCTAATAAAAACATGTGATCATCCTATTAACAGATTAATTCTCAAAAAACGAATTATATAGGTTATGGCCATTTTGGCCCAAAGACGAGAGGTAGGTCGATAAAACAGGACTATAGTTCCTATCTCTGGGAATTCTATTTTTCGGTAATACAAGGTAGACACGTGCGTTGGAACGTGGAAAGAACGTTTATTGGTCAAAAGCTGGCCAAACGAGGCTGATGTTGATGTAACGAGGCAGGCTTTGTACTCTGCCTCGGCTGACAGCTCGATAAATTTCAAGAGCATGACACAGCCGAATGTCGAGCAAGTATATGAGGACGACGACACGATGTTAGGGACGGCCATCAATATTAATTTTCATACTTTGATCAGTTAATTGAGTGATCTTTAACTTATTATATCTATAGTCTTTTTAGGTCGTGGAGGAGATCTGAAGGGAAGATCTACTATTCGTATGGTAGAACAATAAAATAGTAAAATAGTGTAATGATAACATAGCAAAATAATAGAACAATCAAATAATAAAATAACAAAAGACTAGATTAGAAAAAGATCCAAAGAGTGAAATAGCACATTAGTCAAACAGCCTAACATCCCAACTGTCCAACATTTCATTTAGCAACTACATCATGTTCCCTCTGTCCATCAACTTCCATCCAGTCCCTCAAGATCAACACGAATCGATGAATTTTTAATCCACTTCACGCCTCACGAAAGCAACGACTCACATGCATGAAAATTTCCTGAACTTCCAAGGTTTTCAAACATATCGATTTCCAGTCAGTCGATTCCACGAATCCATAGATAAACAGTCGTATTACGACACTAGAGCCGAAAAACACTTGACAGAAGCATTCAACATTCCACGATAAAATATTCAGTCGATTGTTGCCTAATCGATCATCGAATTATCGAAAAAAGGCAAGGAGGAACTGTTATTTACCTCGCTCTTGAAACGACTGTAGTGACTCAGAGCTAGCGAAAGCCTGACAAATGCAGATTTCATAACGTGACGTGCTTTGCAAACGCGTGGCTGTGACCACGTCTACTGCAGGTCTTCAAGGTATCGACAAATCCATGAACAGCATTAAAGACCGCTGAGAGCGGCTGGAAACTTCGGTGTCCTGCTCGCAACAAGTTATCTTGACCGATCAGCTGACCGGATCGATCGGTTCTATACACCTCATGAATCATATGTATCTTGCATTCTAAATTGGATTTAATGTTTGAAACCGTCTAGAAACTTTAGCCACTTCTGCAATGACCGCATCCTCAACAGGTAGTCTCGAAGTTGAATGAAGTCAAAGGGGATGAAGAACTTTAATCGCAAGAAATATTGGATTCGAGGTCGAGGATTTGGTCGGGCGTGAGTTGGGTCTGCTTCAGAAGAGGCTAATTAAATTTTCAAGAGGAAAAATCGTGCTTCATAAATAAGGGATTGAGGTTAGGCCGGGGTTGTGAGGTTCCAATTAAAGTTTCAAGAAAAATCCTGGTTCGGAGATTGAGGTACCGACGCGAAGGCGGAAGTCACGTGAGAGATTACCCGTCTCAAGGCGAACACCGAAGTTTCCTACTGTGAAGGATAAAGCTTCGTTACCTAAAACCTCTTTCTCCCGCTTCGATTGAGTTATCAATTCTCCAGCTTAACAAGACACTGATTTAACGTTTGTGGATTCCACGCTACTTCCTCTTCCTGCATCTTCACTGATAAAATATATGAGCACTATTCTTAATCCTCTGTTCAATTCTTGCACTTGTACTTAGCACCAAATCCTGAAGACGAGTCTCTTACCACTGACAAACTTGGTAGATAATTGCAGGCTTCATAGGAATCATACAAAAGACAGCTGCCCTCTTCTTCTTCTTCTAGATAGGTCTAACTATGCTCTTGATCAATCTTCAGACAGAGTTCATTTGAAACTGTCACTGTCTTCACTAAATCCTCCAACATAATTAACGTCCTCATAACACCAATCCTCACAAGTCCTTAATAATGTAACAGTGATAACTTCTTCAGATTCATCAGGGACACTTCAGCGAGGTCCCACAGTAGCTTGGGTAGTCCTTTCATTCTTCAAAAACCATTGACCACGTACATAAAACAAATCCGAGCGTGTTTTCAGCGACGCCTTTGGGGGACACGTGTCCTCCCAAAATTCAAACACTGATGGAAAGGGAGGTTTTACCCTCGGTTACACAAGGACGTGTTTCATTCGCGATGAGGAAGTTTCTGGCGCTTCGCTTGGACTGGAGTGAGTAATTACGCGGTAAAAGGGATCGGAATTGGTTGTGAATAATTGTGGAGGCTGTACAAGGGTGTCAAGGGGTTGCGGACGATCATTCCCCTGGGCGGAGAGGTGGAATGACAATAGAAGGCGCGGCACACGCGGTAGTTTGAAACCGGAGCGATCTTAAATCCGCACTGCTCGATCGCAATCACGCGCGACTGTCGACAAAGCCGTCGTCGTGGTCACAACAAAACCTGCAGAACGGGGGAACCACGAGGGGTGGCGGCGTCCCGACGCCTCGAGTCGTCACGGCACCACCCGACGACCACGCGAACTTAGGTAACCAAGCAACGGTGGCGATAATAATACTTTTGCTAGGAAACAGATGCAAGCAAACTAAAAACAACCGTGAGGGAATCATGCAAAGAAGTCTGCAGGAATCATAATTCCTAATTTGGTTCCTATAATACGGAAGGTGACGAGGTTATTAACTTTTCTAAGCAAAATGACCTTTAACTGAATTGTCCAACGTTTCTTTCATTTAGGGGTGATTTTCTTGTGCAAAGAAAATTTTTCAAGAATTCTATATTTACAACAATTGATAATATAATTTACTGTAATGCAGTCGATGGTAAAGTCAATAACTTCATCCCTATCTGTAGGTAACCACTACGGTTCTACTTTTTTAGACTGAGGGTAAAATAGTTGTCGATATTGTAGGGTTTCATTTTACCCTAAAATGGCCAGGTAGAAACCTGTACCAATACTTAACTCTGTCGATATAATATTGTGTATTGTCGGTATAATATGTAATACTTCCTCGGTAGGACATAGTACAATTCGAAATGAAGCACAACGATGCAAATATATTTTTGTAATGATCCAAATTAAAACAGAGCAATTATAGTTCATAAAAATCACTACTCACCCTAGTGCTGGCCATTCTCCCTCAGTGGTGGTCGTCGGGGCAGAGGTACTTTTATTTGGAAGACTCAACCGTGGTCCAATCCGAAGAGTCATTGGACGTCTCCGACGCAAAGTGTAATCTGCAACATGACAGAAGTCAAATCCAATAAATTAGATGTTAAATTAACTATCCTTGATCCTAAGCCGAATTAGCGAAGCTCAAAGCACTCGCATCCACCTTCTATTAAGGTAAAGGTCTTACCGTTGGTGCAGCACAATGAGTTCCGCCCTTGAAACACGTGCGGAGATAGATATTGCGGATGGGGATTCGTAGGGGTTGGCGGGGAGGTTCGACTGTTGAGAACCGACATTGTTGCCCAGGGTGGTGCTGCATCCTTCAGTACGTTCTCCTCTGTCGTGGTTGCGGGCACCTCGTTGGTTACCCGCACCTCTATTCCCACGGTCTGTAAATACAACAAGGAGACGTTATCCTTTGATGGCAATTAAGCTTCAATCTCAAGAAACACATTGAATTAACGCTTAATCGTGGAAAGATATAGTCAGGCCAATCACTATAGACCTTAATTATAGTTGAAAGCATTTTAGGTCCAACAATGCGCCATCTAGGTCCCACGTGACAGCGGAAGCTAACTCAAAGCGTCCATCACTCGATGTAAACCCAAGGTAGCTTTCAGACTATGATATTTCTTCGCTGCTTTGAGAAAATTATTGACGTAGAAAAAAAAGGTCTCCAACAAGCGAGACGAAGCGTGAGTTTAAAGGAGGCGACGGCACACAGCTTCGGCTGATTTGCCGGGCAATTTTCTCTCGCTCCACCTCGATAACTGGATTCTCTGTGACATTAATAACCTCACTTTGCGGTACTCTTCAAATAATTAAATGTACTCTCTAAATAATTAAATTTTACATGAGTTTCATTTAGTCTCGGATCATGTAGTCTCGAACATGACACTTTGTAATTTAGACTTCCAATGAAAAAGTCATAACCCTTAAAATTTTTATTGATAGGCGTTTGCTAACGACTTTGACATTTTTCTGGAAAATAAAGGAGGCGTTGTGAAAAAATTGGAAGGGAGAAGGAATTTGTGATTTAAGTAGGTGTAGGTATGATGGCGGAGGAGTTGCAAGTTATTACACCGTTGAGGCATGAAGGTTCAGCTTTAAGGTCGAATCGAAGAGATGTCGATGGAAAAATTGTAGGTTATCGAGTAGGATTGAACGTTTAATATCGTGACGTTTCTAGGGCAGGAAGTTTGATATTTCGTTCAAATGATTCTGAGGATCATAGAGGGTTCTGCATAGAACCTGTTAGAATTGATAAAAATATAGAATCGGAAATAAATTCCAATTTTTATTAATTAAACGAAAGAGTTTCATATATTGGAAGAATAATTCTCAAAGGAACAACGTGAAATTTAATAAATGAAAGTAATGCGAGATTAAATTAAAATCAGGGCTCTCTTCATGGTCCGCCGTCCGAGAGTTGAATACTCAAAGTAAAATTGATTTGGATATCAGTGGATTTCTTTCACTATAAATTAATTTTTATTGCAATACTTGTTCAAAACAATAATTAAACCAATCCGTACAATTTCTAGAGCACACTTTACACATTTGAGGCTTGCAACAGGGAAAGGGATCAGAACACAAAGATGTCAGATCAGAGTTAGGAATTAAGTTTATATCGATCTCGGGAAAAAGTATTGACGAAACTGTCTGAAAATTGGAAAACATGAAACCTTTAGAATTCAACGAGCAAAAAGCAGTGTTTTGTGCTCAATTCAAAAGCTCCTACATTTTTCTGTCCACCCACGCAGATACGTACTTCGATTCTGTGAGTTCAGTCAACAGGTAGCTTGTGCTCCCATTGAACGCTGTTTTACAGATACGTGATCCTTTCATCTCTGCTTTCTGCCCTAGACTCGTTTGGTTAGGATGATTCTCCCATCGAAACAAACAAAATTTTCATTCCTGTAAACCGACCCTTCGTTTCTAGCCTCAAGGTTTGTACAACGGTTCCCTGGATATTTTTTCTTAACAAGGAACTTCTTAGAATATAAAAAATATGTACGATGCTATATTACTTTATCAAATTCAAAACAACGAAAGTACCTCCTAAAGCATACGAAGCAATAAAAAGAATTAATTTTCATTCCTCAACCATAAACAGCCACCCTGGATTGGTAATGTCAAATGAAATGTGCTCGACAACTGGAAACTTCCCACGTGGCACATGGAAGCAGGAGCAATCGAGTGGAACAGCTTTTTTTGTCAGAAACAAATTTCGTCGAGGGGAAAAAGGTTATTGCCTGGAATTGGAATCGTGGATTAAAAGACTGGAACAAACGCAGCCGTTCGCTCGTTCTTCAAAATCCAAGTGGAAGCTAAATGGCGGATTAACAGAAAGGAGTAATTCGTCGTCGCTTAAATTCGTGGCAGCGGGCGCTGCGAAAATTATCCCCAGAGGTGTTGTTAATGAAATCCAGCAGAACCAAAAGTTCTCTCATAACGAAGCCCCGTTTCTCCAGTAATTATTGCTAGGATAGGAATAATTATGGGATTATGATACTCCTTGGATCAACGTGGCTGGAATACGTGACTTAATAACTCTCTCACGGAACAAATAACGATAGTAAGAAGATATATACGGTTCCTATAAAGCCAGTGTTATTCTCGCGACCGAATAAAATGGAAGGAAATGTTTCATTATGATTTCTCTCTCTTTAATATGCTCAAGTTACCTGGGGAAAAAATCCAGCCAGCGAATGGGAAAGGGTATTACCTGCTTCACGAGATGAAATAACGTTGAAAGGTACGTATTTCGTTACAAAGGAAGCTGTACTATTAATAAGAAGAATAATTGTCGTAGATATGTATAAAAAGAAATGTTATTCCTTAAAAAATTAAAATGAGGTTAAATGATTGTTAATTTGGAAGAAACAGTTACATCTTTGAGATTAGGTTACATTACTAATTCTACTAATAAAAAAAAAGCAGAACCATAATTAAAACCTTCATAAAACAAGTGGGAAGGTGAAAAAGTCAGAATAATAATAGTACTCCACGTGTTAAATAAAAAATTCAACGTACAGTTTTACTCTGTTTAATAAATCCTCCTTTTGACAAACCTTTGCAAATAAACCCCTGTATAAAAATGTATATATTGATTTTAATACGAAACATTTATTCGGAATCGATCAATGTATGTACATCTCTTTCAACCTACGCCTCCTGCCTTGGCTAGAGTTACAATGGTGTTTTGTCATTGTACTTCTGCAATCAAATAAATATCAAAGGTCTCGTCCCATCAAAGAAGTGCTTTTTTACAATTTTAGAGAAAAAGAGAAATTTGAGATCTGCTGGGGCAGCTGATCTTTCATATATTAATAATAACAATGTGAAAAAGAAACAATTTAAACATATAATGTGAAACTGAAAATGTTTAGAAATTGTTTTCAATTTTTAGAATAAATGTAAATCATTTTCAAAGGTGGTGTTGATGATCTTAGGCTTATCTTGTTTGACCAGTTAAATCACTTTGCTACCTGGACCCCGAAGATACGATTTAGGATTTGAATTATTCTATTCCTTAGGGACGGGAAATTAGTTTGCCCCCGTAGTTAAATCATTCAACACCTCAGCTCCGACAAATTGGATTAGCCTCGTCCGTTGGCAAAACCGATTTTTGCAAGTCAAACAGATGAATAATTCAACCTCTAAGACACACTGTACATTAAACGACTTCCATGATAGAAATGAAAAACTCTACCAACGTCTTTGCCCAATTGATCGTCATCCAACCATTGGATTGGTAAATAAAATCATAGTCCTTATATTTTCACCACAGAATTATTTTTGATCATTAAAATACTATTCGAATCAATATTTACTATAAAATCCCATCTTGGCCTAATCTCATCCCTAAAGCCCTTTGCTGGACCTAAAGCAAGGCTATAAGTACCTTTAGTGCCCTTCAGTTAGCATAGAAAATTCAAGGCATTTAGCGTATTTTTTTAGGTATTTCATCGATATTCTGTATTCTTTGGAAGATTTACAGTGGACAGGCACGTATAGGAAAATTGAAAACAAGCTTCGACCAAGGTGAAAATAAAATTCGTAACACGTGTATTAAAGGACGATCCGCGAAGCTCGGTAAAAAAATATCATTGCTGGCTTTCTCGTTGCACTCGTTTGTTTGCGAAAACAAATATTTGTCCCGGATACGTTGCAACCCTATTATTCCACGAGTCTCGGACGTTAATTGCATATCGATCGAAACTGTCCTCTGTGCTTTCCTTCTTTGATACACGACGCGACGGTCCATCTGATCCGTTCTTAATGGATTTCAACAAGGACGCGTTCTGATCTCAACGCTTGATATTTGTTCGATTAATTGTTGAGAAACGTGACTTCCAGCCACGTGGAACGTCTTTGGTGAGCTTACGTTTGAAGGGACGGAAGGGTAGCCTTGAGCTGCCGGAGAATTACTCGAGCTTCCTCCTCCGGATCGTCATTCCACGGATAAGACGTGGATTTAATTTCAGAGAAACTGTGTTTAAAATCCTTCAGGAGACAATCTTGACCTTGAGGAATCTCATGAACTGCGAGAAGAAGCTTCGTTCGGTCACTTGGGAAAACAATTTAAGAATACTCGGTTAATAGGTCTCTGTGTGCTAATGTACTCAGCAAACTAATTTGGAAAATTAAGAACCTCAGAGAATTGTCTCAAGGTCTGTAGGTACCAATTACATATACTAAATGATTTTAGCTTAAACACCCAAATTTAGTATATCTCACCCAGGCCTAACTCACAATTAGTCATAAGCATCTATAGTGCTCTGCCAATTAACTTAATAAATTAGAAGTATTTAGTGATCTTTTCTAGAGTTTAAATGCTCCAAGTGTCTCTTTAATTAGATCCCATGAAAGAAATTGCCATAAAACCTGCTCAAAGGACTCAAGACCCTCCCTGTCTTAACTGAATGGTAACAGATCTGGCCCCATTCCATTTCCACTATCTCCATTGAAATTTCTTTCTATTCCACCAAGTTTCATTGACCGTATCACTGATGGAAGATAACTTGTCACAGCTATCCAAGGTTTATTAGGTGAAAATTGGACGGAGGAGTTTAATTAGACGGACGGTACTGGCGTGCCGGTATACCACGTGTCCTCCCAAGGATAGTCAAGGAAACAGTAACACCGGTAGCAGGAATAAATTAACCCGGGACAAGTGTAGAGGCTTCCCTCGCGTTTCCGGATAATTTATTCGACGCCCGAGGCTGTTTGTCGCCGTTGAACCTCTCCGGGGTGCAATTCCAATGCGCATCAATCCGGCAGGGGTACAAAAAAGCAGAAAGTGCTAAATTAACTTTTTCAAAGCCAGTTTTCGTCCCTTTCATCATCCTTTTAAAAAAAAATGGTGAGCCAATAATAATAACAGGAAATCTTGAACATAACCTCTTTATATTATAAACCCTTTACTGCAACGATATAAAGCTTAAAATTAAATGCCACTTTCTGTTCACAACCTATTGTAATAAGAATAATGGATCATTCTAACCTCAAAATTGGAGGGAACTGCTATTATTTTTGAAGCAACGTGATATATTGAACAGAATTATAGTTTTCTTTTCAATATGTACCTAAAAACAACTTCCTAGAGGATATTAAATTCTGCACAGCAGAAAAACAGTCGGTTAGCTCCTTAGAAAAGTGAACCCGCTGTTTCAGGCGAAAATTTGCATTTAGATGACTCAGAAATTCCCTGTGTGCTAAACATTTCAGAACGTGACCTGCCTAGAGCCACATAGCTGCATTCGATCATACGTTCCCTTCGAGTTATCAAGAATCTATGTGAATGGGTGTGTATAAAAGGAAAAGGGATACACGGTATCATTGTGCCAATAGAGAAATGAACTGTCAGATAAGAGGACGGGGACGATTATAGAGACAGATAAGCCGACGGATAGCCATGGTACACGGGGGCAGCTTTCATTTTATGATCCCTCGTACGCGTTCGTTCCGGTTCGAAAGAAAAATAAAACTAAATCGACTAGAAGGATGCACGATGGATTGATAAATTATTGACACTGCCTTTGAACTTTATAATCAGTTCATTGAGTAGAAGGGCGCATAGAAAGGTTTGTAATAGTAAGTTACTTATTCTTGATCTATCAGAGAAAAATTAGATAACCCTTATGGTCTTTCTGTATTTTGAGGCAGATTTATTATAGTTTATTGAGATTTTTATTTTTTAAGTCACGGAATGGCTCATTAGTTGCATAATTTTGAGGTTAGGTTAATTCTAATCCTAAGTAATTCACGGTAATACCATAACTAAGCTATGGATTTAATTTGGACGATTTAGTTATAGGAATGAAAATTGCTCGTCAGTGATACACGCAGAAACCACTGTCTAAAAATCGATACAGCAGTATCGTAATCTACGCAAGTATTATCATCGAAATGGGTATTAAAAGGTTAACTTTTCCCCGCAGGAATTCAGTAATTTCGTTATCTGATGCCATAAAGGACCATTTCCTGACGAAACAATTTCTAAACAAAGAGTGCCGTATAAATAGCGAATATAAAAATTAAATTTTTGAGGTTATGACTTATTAAAAATTCAACGAAAGCTTTGTCTTAAAAAGTAAATTAGATATCGGCCATTGAAAGACACTTTTATCGCGAAGAGAAATGACTTTGGTATTAACAGAAGCTTATCAGGGAAAATTGAACGTAAATTTGTAATAACATTAAGGATGAACGAAGAAGTAATAACTTTCATGGAGTTAATTAAAGGTAAATGGAATAACAGTGTCTGAAAGTATAGGAGAAGCTTCACAATGAAAATACAGTTGGGTTCACGAAAGCAGAAACTGGCGGAAGTTAAACTTGATCAAAGAAAGTGTTTCCAGATTTCAGTCAAAGGATGTGATATATTTTTATCACGGACTTCATTCGAAATAAGATCTGTACTTTATCTGAAAGCTTCGACATAATTCGTATTTTACGGCTGAAAAAGTTGCCAGCTTGCTGAGAAGTTGTTGCATAAATTCATAGCGTGCGGAAAATACGTTCAATTTTCGCGGAAATCGAGGGAAATCTTAGAAACGTTAGATGAAAATCGATTTTAAGTTTCTCTCGGATTATTTGGTGGCTTTAATTTTTTAAATTTGAAAATTGAACAAGTATTATTATCACCAATTAAAACAATTTTTTAATGAAAAGTTGTAGAAATAATGAATTGACCTAACTTCAAAAATAAAGAACGATGAAATACCAATATTTTGTTTTGTAATCTGGAAATTGTAGAAATAATGGATTAGTTTTTACTATCTAACCTCAAAAATATCAATATCTGAATTTCCTAACCTCAAACGAGTAGAAATAATGGATTATCCTAACCTAAAAAATAAAAAGAATTACAATACACTATTCATATATTCCAATCCATACCAGGAATAAATCTTATTCCACTTTGATAATATGAATTTTTCTCACGTTTTTCGCGTTGATTTTTCAATCTATAGTACACGCTACCAATATTTACACAATATATATTTTGTAGCTTTTATATTAAACGAAATATTCATTTCAATATTTGTCCTATCAAAAACATCTGAAATATTAAATGTTATTTTTAAAACTTTTCATCTGTGAAAATTGTGCCCATTAGAGACCTTCAATTTCCCAAATAATTAACAACATATTGAGATGTACAAAATAATTCACAGAACCTAGAAAAGTTATCAAACAACAGTTTTCTAATTAACGTTAATTCTAACAGCAACATATCAGCAGATTTCTCAAAATGTCAACATTGTAATACAAGCAACGAACAGACAATGAATACAGAACAGTCTCAAAGCAAAGGTATTTCAACCAAACCGTGATAGCAGATTGTTAGAGGTGATAAACCACGTGTTTCATTAACGGGGGAAGTTAATTAAATCTCTGTTGAAGCAACAACGAATTGAAATTAAAGCAACCGCATGTCTTGACGGTCTGTGTTACTCCCACATACAGATATACGCACATACACCCATTGAATCATTGAATTCCATTGTGCATAGTACCTCTCTGAAAATTATTATAAAAGTTGTTGGACTTTGAATCAATTCATCTCCATCAATTTCCTATTAATGCTTAATTAAAGGATTCATTAGATTAAGTGATGGTACAAGAGCAATATTAAAATTATCAGGTGTTGGCCTGAGGCCGAGTTTACATTGAGCAAGACTACTCTGGACTCAAAGGATAGAAAGAGGTAAAGATGGGACATATTGTTCGCCCCAAGGACCTTGCCTAGGTACTGGTAAGGACAGTAGGGCCTGCCACTTGCCCAGTGTGAATTCAACCTAAGAGTCAATGGATACAAAGAGTAATGAAATATGCGAGAGAGAATCCATCTACCCATTCATACTAACCAGATGAATACAGCATCTGCATACTGCTATTCAAGGATGCTCTCAAGTGCCTGCTGCTTGTAGGACCACGTATATGTTGCATCCCTGCAGGCACAGCTGCCCATCTAGGCTAGCACTGTTCATCCTCATTTCTACTCTCACGATTCCTCTTATTAGGTGTGGAAATTCACATACCATACACAGTAGCAGCTCGATAATTCCCTGCTTTTATAGAAATTCTGTATTTGTCACATATGTAGCGAAATCACGGATTGGACAAATGAACCGTTTTATCGCGGTGAAACACTCATTCGTGGGGGATGAAGGAACAACGCAATCTCGCGAGGATGGAGGTCAACGTGTCCATTACACGCGACGGAGGGAGGAATAGTAGGGGTAGATTTTGGAGGGAAGAAAAATCTCTTTCGTTCATCCTAAGCTATGTATGTTAGACTTCATTAAAGTAATTAAGAAAATTTACAAGAAGCTCTTATTTGCTTATGTTGCTCTTTGGTCACTAATGAAAATTTGAGTAAACTCGTTCTCAGTAATAAATGGAAATTCTGTTCACTCTATGGAAATGTGTAAGAGTCACTGGGCAAAGTGGTCGTCCAATAATTGTGGACGTACCTTCTGGAAATGTCATCCATAATTTTATGACAACGAGGACATATTGATATTGAACCAAATACAAAGGAAAGCTTCGTATGAATGCAAAGCAAAGCAAATAATATTCAAAGCCCAAAATCGACGTTTAAATTATCATTAAATTATTTGTTTATGTAATATGCTTTATGAATTCTTGTTCGAGTTAAATTATCTTGGACGACTACGAGTCTCGGATGACACAAAGGATCGTAGAATTCGGATGTACAAAGGATTCCACCCCTTGGGATTCCAGTAGCATTTATTTCTTGATCATTAAGCGTAATGGTCGCTAATTGAATCGCTTTCGAACTTGACTCCCGCCCTTGACCCGCACCCTTTGGTCGTCGGCGTGTCACCGACAGATTCGTATTACGACACCTCCTCGTGCCCCGCACAATTGGACTCCGCCAGGATTCCGGGAATTCTGACGGTGGAAAATTGGAATTCTAACCGATATGACAGCGAACGATTTGCAATTTTGAACGTTTTTCACGCGGAACTTCGGAAATCGTGGAATTATTCAACATTAAACGTGTGACAATCTACGGAATTCACGAAGTAACAATTTTAACGGATTCGTCGAAACCTGAAGCAATCACAAGGGAAGTAATCAAGACCCTACAAGAATCGAAGGTCCGACCATCCGATCCCTACGGGCCAAAAACACTGGAAACGAATAAACGAAGGTCCAGAGTAGATCTTACGGATGGCAATAGCAGAAAATGAGATTTCTTCCTGAGATAGGGTGGCGACGTCTTTGTATTTTCACTTTCGATTTTACGACTTTACCGAACTGGTCCTGCAGGCTTCCTCTATTAAGATCATGAAAACGTGCTATCGATTCGTGAGGAGTGGAAGCACATTCTCCATTACTCTGGTCCCCTCTGTGGAAAACTTGAAAGAATTTATGGGAAACATTCTTCCTTGTCTTTTACCACGTGCCTACCAAATATTATGAAATGGGTCAGCAAACTCTGGGAATCCTAAAGCACGGTTGTAAGACCAGGTTAGGTCTGATTTGACACTAAGTAATTACCTCCCTAACTTTTAAGACTTTACACAAACGCAAGATTCAAGGTTAGATCTATTTAAGTCTACTTTGGCACTGTAAGTCTCTGTAGCTTTGAGGTTAGGGCACTGATCCTGTAAACCAGGGATCAAGGGGCTTAATTGTACATTGCCTCAAGTTTCAAGACTTTGCCTAAATGCAAAATTGAAAATGGCCCAAACATCAACCAAAGATTTCATAGAAATCCTAACCTCATTGTCACATTAATTAAACAATTTTGAATCTAATATGGAGACACCATTCAACAGGAAGTACTCTATTAGTACCCTCTCGAAACATGGATTATAATCCATCACGTAGATGAACAAAGTTAGCCTAGTACAAATGTGTCAAGTTGAGGTTATCGTTTGAGACAGTTTCCGGTAGGGAAGTTCCGATGGAACGCATAATGTCCTGCACGTGTAATGAAGCTGATGCGTTTGTCGAGAGAATATCGGCAACGCGATAAAGCAATTATTTTCATCCGACGTTACCCATTAGTTGGCAATCTGATTACACAACACGACCGGCTTCCCTTTCTCGTAAACTTAGAAGGAAACACGATGGCCCGTCGATGCGTCGCGGTCGCCATTTTGTTCACGGTCGCGAATCAACATGGAAGAAGTAACCAAGTGGTTTCAGATGCATATCTGAACGTTGCACTTTAGTTGTATGGAGTGTGATGAAAGCAGAATAAAAATAAAAGCATGCTAAGATTTTATCAAGTGGAATACCTAACAGACCTAAGTCCAACCTCGATATCTACCAAATTATGCTGATGATTCGCGATTTAAGTCACGTTTAAATGGTCTAGACAGCCGGTGACACGTACTGATTGCAACGAATACGTAAGGTGACCTGTAAATCCCTGATACACCTCCAGTCGCAAAAAATGTCGTAATAAAACGACTTGACTACCTGAGGCAGACCAAGTTACCGACCTATCTAGTAAATAATTCAACGGAATATTGTCAGAGACTTGTGAAGTTTTAACAGAGTCTCCCCGTTCCCAAGTTTCGTCTTTTGAGAACGAAAAGTTGCGAGACCCATCGTCGGTGTCAAATAATTTAAGGAACACTTAATAATGAAATATCTAAAGTTTCCGCTCATTCTCAAAGTCTTCGTTAACGAGTTCTCTTGAAGGGAACTTCGAAGCTTCCGAAACAAGATCAAATCAAAATGATTTCTCCCAATGGTAATTCAGCGATTTCTCAAAGGCTATTGTAAATTGTCTGGTTGAATGGTGCTCCATAAATATCACTCTCAGCCGCGATCAAGCATGATACAAAAGGAAAGGAAATGAGGATCTTGCATTGAAAAAGGAACCGTTTTACAGCAATGTTCCCTGGTGAGAATAAAATCATGAATAAGGAGGATCGTTATTTATACACGAAACGTGCAATTCTAGGGGGTGGAAAAATAACCAAACGAGTATTCTTTTTTTTTTCTTTACCCATGGATCACGATTAATCTAACAAAATATTTCTTCTAACTCGATTGAATTAAAAATCTTCATGAAAATTCGTTTGGATAAAAATTTCATGTTTTTTTTTTTAACTAAATAAGAATTGCAAAATTCTGTCCCTTTTTCTAAATAATTCCCTCCCCTCCCCTCAATTTCACGTGATCTCATATTAAACAAAATTTAAGACATGGAGGGAAAAAGAATGATTGATTTGACGTCGAGAGACCACATGCTCCTTTATGAATTTTTTTTTAGAAAATTTATGAGCCCTTTTTTGATAAAATTTCCTTATTTTAAAAAATAAGTTTTCAACGCAAAATAATGGAGAAGGTAAAAGATATTAGTCTATGATCAATATAAAATTATTAATATCTAAAAGTAACTTCCTCTACCAAAATTAAACTAGAATTCCTTTCACGAGACCGAAGAAACGATTTTGTAATCTATATTTCTGTACCGGGTTTCAATATATTACATAATTTCAGGAAAATCTGTGGGAAGTTCGTTCATAAAGTTATTTGGAGCTGCGTGGGCGTAATTCAGTTACTGTTGAGATTAAAATACTTAATTGGTAAGGTATATTTCGATGAAAGGAACAATTACACCTTGACAATGGGGAAGGAAATTTATGATTAAAAGGAATATTTTGAAATAAATACAGTCGAAATGACTTTGTTGTGACAGGAGAATAATTTCGCACAATTCAAATAATAATGACGGGTACATTTTCTCGTTAAAATAAAAGCGACAGTGGATATTAAAAGCTCATCAGTAATTGGTGATAATAATTTTCCAGCTCTAATACTTAAACGTTTTAAGCAACATGGATGTAGAGTGTAGAGTGAATCAATATCGATAGCCAACAATTTCAGCTTTATTATTAGATCGACAACAGTGCAAAAAAAATCATAAAAATAACTATCATAGAATACCTTGAATTTCCATGTAATAATTTAGAGATAAAAATAATTTAATCATTCCAAGAATTATGTCTTGAAATTGTGTAAAGAAATAAATTCCGAAACAAATTGTTAAATTTAAATTAAATTAAAATTGAGATTACAACTGTATTAAAAACTTATTCAATTTCTACATTGAATATTCATTTCAATCTCGAATAATAAAGCTGAACCAATTACCAGTTCAAAAAATACAAAAAAAAAAATGGAAATAATTTCACTAAATCTGATAATTACATAATCAGCAAGTAGAAAGTTTCCCTCGCAAAAGGGTATATTTAAAAAACAACTTCTGCATGGCAATTAATTCTGCCATGGAGAAAAAACTGGTACACCATTCCACGTTCCTCGTTAACAAACCGGAAATGCCCGTGTTTCGATGCTTACAATCGATCGATTGAAGTCGTGTAATAATTTTTGAGAGCTGCAGTTCGCTGTCGTTTGAAAAATTAGCTCTGTCGATGGAAATAAACTGGATTACGTTCAATTCCAACTTTCCAACCCATCATTCTCACCCCCCAACCCCTGTCATTTCTCTGGTAAGTAACTCGGCGCGAGCAACAGATTGTTGCGAGCTGCAGTTATTTCCGATACACTAAAGGGAATTTTCCTGCGTAACGATGACGAACGTGAAATGCATAAAGGAATTAAAGTAGTATGAGTAAAAAAATAAATGATAATAGAAATATAAGTAGGGGTGTCCGGTACCTGAATTTTAGAGTAAGTGAACAATCCTAAAAATGAGTAATAATCTAGAAGTGGTATCAAACAATATAATAAGAAAAGATTATTAAAAAGAAGTCACTACTTTTGCCCCCCTCCCCATCCTCTGTTAGAAATTCCGTCCAAAATCAAAACTCTGATGTCAAAACTCACATGCTGCATTGGATAGGCGCCGCTACCGACGAAGAAATCCCATGCCCACGCAAAGATTCGCGCGCAAATGTGCATCGACGTCACAGCCAGGGTGTCAAGTTTGCCCTTCCCAGCGTCCACAACACCAGGATCCACCTGTCCTACAGCTATGATGTTTTTATAGCGACACTCCAGCACAGATTACGATTACATCTCAACCCCATGACATTATCGCGCGATACCGATCCGCTCATGTTTTCCCGCCATTGACGTTACATTTTCCCCGCGGCCATTATAGTATTCCGTATTCCTGCATCCTGCATTCCCCGGCTCGTTACAGTATCGGTAATGGAATCTTCCAGTAACGGTATGTTCTGTTACAGGATCGTCTTAGGGGGAGCAATCCGATCGTCCTGCAACCCGATCGCTTCTAGTATTGATTGTGATTCGAAACTGGAAACTGTGTTGATGCTGAAGGAGACAGGATCTTTTGTCGTGCAAATTAGTCCAAAAGTTCATGGCCCATTTGTATCTGTTCGTAACAGTTAGCCTCGGGTAGCCTTAATGTTAAGTTCACCATATTTAATCTCGGGCTGAAGTTGAATCTCGAAGCTACAGGTAGGATACAAGTATCTCCAGTCTTCAGGGTCACAGAGCCTCGACCGTGATTTCGATTTCGATTACATAACCGCGAAAACGATCGATCATTCGACGATTGCCAGCCGCGTTTGCCCGAGATCCTTGTCACTCACTCCTACCGGAAGGAGGCCGGCGAACGTTCGCCCGGAAGAGTAATTACGTTCCTGTCACTCCTCGCACCTCTTCGCGGCACTTCGACGAACCTGAGACCTACGCTATTTCCAAGAATCCTACGTCCTATATACCCTAGGAGCTACTTGTTGATTGACACACGGCACAAACTTTCATTCACAACAAACTATCCGAGTAGTCCAACTTGTCGATGTACGTGCAGAGCGATGCGAGATCAGTCGATCAATATTCATTATTTTTACGATCTATAAGATATATCGAACATTTAAACTAGACCTAAGTTTAAACACTAACTATTTGATTGAAATTGGTGAGTTTGTGGAGAAATGATGTGCAAGGATTGGTTCTAGAGGGTCTGAGGAGGAGGGCCTGCGGACGCAGACCTACGCGGAACACTCTCGTCTGAAGGACTGAGCGATACTGACGGAAGAAACAGGCGCGTGCCGCTTGGGAACACGTAGGGAACGCGGAACGCATGTCAAAATGAGTATCTATAGATACAGGGTACACAACCCTTTTCAAGTGGCCAGGAGGCTTAACAGGTGGATGGAACGGTGGAAAAATATTAGCACGGAATGCTTGAAGCACCGGATAAAAACGAATGTATTGGAGCACGAGATTCGAATGGAATTAGAAATGAAAAATTCAATGGAAACTGTGTGCACTGTGAGCGCTGTGTAAAGCTACCGTCAGTTGGGATAAGCCTTTTAAATTGAAAACGATATTTGACAGCAAAATTTGGAATGGATAAAAGCATGAAGAGATTAAATATTTTAAAATGTGTCAATATTGTTGTAATATTAGGCTTCCTTAAAACTATAGAAATTCAGAAATGAAATGTTCGTAGAAAATATAAGATTTCTACTTATTCGTTATTTTTGGTAGAGATTAATTATTTATTTAATTAGTCTTATCTGATATTCAATGTTTCTATCATTAATCATAACAAAACCATCGTTAAAACCATATTGAGCCCCGAAGTATAATATTAAATACATGTAGCCTTATGAGAAATAATTTAAATTTTCAAATATGTGGCGCCATAACGAAACGTAACTAGCGCCACGGAAATGTGCGTTTGACGCTGTAACGAAGCGTTGCAGCGTCACGGAGAAACACAAGCTTGGCGCCATAAAAGTAATCAAATAATTGCTATTGATTGAAATTAGAAATGAGAACTACCATAATATTCTTTATTGCTATCAATAAAACGTAATAATGAACCATTTTTAAAGCTATTTTCCTTACCGTGTTGAAGACTAATTGAGTTCATTGCAGAAAATGCTGTACGGTTCCTCTGGAGTCCGTTTATCTTCGAAATTTCGTCACACAAAGAAATCACTATGTTGTTTTGCATTAAATGTGATCACGAACCATCAATGAAATACTTATTTAATAAATAACACACTCAAACATTAAATTTTAAAAAGAAAAACACTAAAATACCGCTTATGAAATAGATTACGCGTTACCGCATTCACTCCCGGATTGAAACTGACACAGGGTGGCGCTTCAATGCTCTTCGGTACGAGAACCATCCGCTCAACGCTTTACCGGTAGACGATGGTACTTACGTTTTCTTTTCTTCTAGCATTCGATAAATGTATGACGTTTAAATCAGTTTCTGTTCGGCCTAATTTTTAATGAAACCTGGGCTGTTTTACCGACGCGGAATTCGTTGTGATGTGATTTTTAAATTAATTCTCGTACATTTTCAAACATCAACGGTTTATCAGACCTGCAGCTTCTAACCTCAATTGTCCAACAGACACGCGACAATTTTACGCGCAAAGTGTAATTAGAAATCTATACGTGTATAGTTTATATACTTGTACATAAAATCGTGATTGTTAACAAGTAATTATAAACAAGTTACTTAAAGTATAGTCCAAGTAAAAAGTATGTTGGGATTTCATACACTTTTTAATAAAGGAAGGTGTGCAGTTATTGGGATGGTACATGTTGGTGCACTGCCTGGTATAAAATATTTCAAAATCTTATATTAAATGATTGCATAAAAAAAAATTTCTCCCAATAAAAGTTGTTGACAGTTGTCTTTATCATTCTTAAGTTTGAAATGTCACATAAATGCTTTATCTTTGTTCTTGATGTAAAAGAATATATCAGTTATAAATAACATTTGCTGTAAACATCATATCACTGTTAATCAATGAATGGACAACAACCAGAAAAATATGTTGTTATCACAATATATTTTTAACAATAAATGTTCTTTAAGGTAATATTTTTTAGGATCACCTTTGTATGGTGGTGATACAAGAAAAATTTTAGATAATGCTATAAAGGAAGCATTAATATATAAAGATTGTTATGTTGTAAGTATAATTAGAAAATATACGAATCATTGATTCTGTAGCTATCAAGATTATTGTGTGTTAACTTAAGGATGGTATCTTGGTGGAAAACATGCACGATATTCCATATGTAGGGCCCAAAGATATATCTCCAGAAACTACAGCATTTATGACAAGAATCTGTACAGAAATTAAAAGAGCATTACCTGATAATTTACCTTGTGGTGTACAGGTAAATGGCAGAGAATATATCTCATGAAATATTCTGTACATTGTTCATAAAATGTTATCAAAGAAAAAAAATAGATTTTAGGAGGATGTAACAAAGAAGCAATGGCTGTAGCAAAAGCTGCTGATTTTCAGTTTATTAGAGCAGAAGGATTTGTTTTTTCTCATATTGCAGATGAAGGTTTTACAGATGCATGTGCTGGCTCTTTATTGAGGTACAGAAAGCAGATTGATGCAGAAGATGTTCTTATTCTTGCTGATATTAAAAAAAAACATAGGTGATTTATGATGCTTTAATCAAAAAGAAACTCATCTCTTCCATAGGTCTTTTTCATTAGTAATAATCATATTTGTGTAGTTCACATTCAATCACTTCTGATGTAAGCTTATCAGAAACAGTAAAAGCAGCAGAATTTTTCTTAGCTGATGGAATAATACTGACGGGCACTGCTACTGGTGATCCAGCAAGTGCAGCAGAACTTAAAGGTAAAGCCTTATATTAATTTATTAACAATTTATTGTATATATCAAAATTACATTATGCAGAAGTAAAAGAAATTGCCAAAGGACCTGTTCTTATTGGTTCTGGGGTATCAATAAGTAACATAGGAAATTATTTATCATCAGATGCAGTGATTGTAGGATCATATTTTAAAGTAGATGGAAAATGGCAAAATCCAATAGATAATCAAAAAGTGTATAATTTCATGAGAATATTACAAAAACTGCAGAACCCAAAATAATATTTTAAATAATGCTTTTTTAAAAATTATTTTTTTCTTATACATATATATAAATAAACACATTTTATTTTTAAAAGGAACAAATTTTTTTTGTTACATTAATCGGTGATAATCGAAACTCCCAGCGAAATGACAAAAAAATTAATTGTAAGGTAAAGCGGAAACACAGGTAACCGGTTTCAGGGAACCTGTCCTACACAGTGCATGAATAGGCTTTTAATGGTGGGGTGTAAACCCAGACCTTAAACTGAATTTATTATTATGGAGCATTAACCTGTATTCCTTAGAAAAATTTATATAAAGGGGTTAGGGATTTACAAATATAACATAATATTTCAGTTTTTAACATAACACACGATAGTTAATTTTGTACAGAAATCAATTTTATTATTTTAGACTTTAGTTTAAATTTAAATTTCTAGTCAGGGACTGTGCACTGACTTTGAGGCAGCTATCTCTGAACAACAGAGTCAAGCTGCTATGGGTACCAGGTCACGCTGGTATCTCAGGCAACGAGAGGGCTATCGAATTGGCGCGACTGGGGGCGACAAGCTCCCAGCCATACCATGAGTACCCTATTGGGGTCTCAACCTATGCATTGAAGGGCCTGGCTAAAGAATGGTTAAACCAAGAATTCACCAGGCTATGGCAAAACGCTAACGGCATGAGACACACGAGGGCCTTACTTGAGGGACCGTCACAGAAGCTGGGTGACACCTTAACTCACCTGGACAGGGCGCAGCTGCGCATGCTCATGGGCCTAGCGATAGGACACTGGTACATACACGAGGAAACACCTCGCACGCATGGGACTCACAGAGGAGTCGACATGCCCGAGGTGTGAGGAGGTGGATGAGACACCCCTCCACGTACTTCTAAGATACAGGGAACTAAGGGCCCTAAGAGGATCAATCCTGGGGACCTCGGAACTCTCGTCATTAAGTATTTCGGCTGGCTTGGTGCCGGCGCTTCTAAATTTCGCAATATTAGCCCAGCTACCAAGGCACAGCCAGTAAGGAGGCTGCCTAGCGGCCCGGGTACAATGGTCCCCAGGACTGAGTGCGCGGCTAGCCTCAACCAAATAATAATAATAATAAATTTAAATTTACGCGCCATTATTTATTGTTTTCCCGCGCTTTTGTTCGCGGCAACGGGTATTCCCCGAGAAGAGTACAAAACAATGGTGAATTTGTTGAAAAAAAATTAAATTTAGAAAGAAAAATGATAGAGGAAAGTTATCTTTTACGTAAATCTTAACATTTTAATTTTTATCCTTGAAACAGTCAAATTATTTTTATACCGTTCATATGTCACGAATATTAACCTGTGATTTATGTGTTTAGAAATTATAGTACATGCCAAGTGTAAATGTAAATATTGAAAACATGCCAATTCAGTTTTTGTGTTTATAATTAATGTCAATAAATGTTTAAGATTTTATACGTATACACAAATGATGCGATAGACAGTAACAAATTATTCACTTGCAAAAGAAGACCAATATAGATCTATGTACATATTTTGATAGAAATAAAACTGACAGAAATAAACAATAGGTTAATGATGAATTATATATAATATCGTTAACGATACAGATTCCTATATATCTTATATCTTATCTATTTCTACTATTTCTATTGGCAAAGAATTTTCTTCCGCTTGTGAAACGGTAATCGTGAAATTTTTGGCATGTTTTCAATCAAATAAAACTCGGCCCGTGTAAATTCAAATCTTCAATTACGTACGAACGAATATTTTAAACGAACTACGTTATCTCATTTATGTATTCATTTGCCTTGTTCAACGTACACCGTGCGTTTCCAATCATTTTCGATTCAAAAGAAAAAAACGGTACGTTTTTATCGTAACATTGTTTTCGTATTTCTCTGATAGTTAATTATCACTGTATATGCATATATGACATACAAAGAAAAGGTCCGCGAAATGCGTTTCATGGTTTTTGTTGAAAGTATCAGTCAATGACTCAAAATTAATGACAAAAAAACGGCGATACTGGGTCGTAGGAAACAAAAAATTTCTCATATAGCTTGGTTACTGCCGTGCATTGACTCGTATCAATTCAACAGGGAAATGGAGGGATCCCCCAACAGTATTGACAGGGTTGCCTCGCGCAGGCGTCTAGTTGTTGGTTAGACTGCCACTATGCCACTGCTCGACAGTGGTATCCCAACCTCGTCCTGTTCACTATGCAATCCATTTTCATCAGAATTCGGTATATTTACAAACAACAAACAATTTTAATTACTGATTATTTTTCAACAACATAATTACAATAAGAAATCAAAGTTGGGGATTATCTGTATAATGTTCAACTTTTGATTCCATTAAGGATGAAAGCGTTAAATCAGTTGTTTAAACTCGGGATGATATAATAATGTATTGTAATCTGTGATCAATTGGTAGATTTCATTTTGAGAAACACTGCTACATATGATGCCATCTTGCCACTATGGGCAACGATGTCGCTATGAGGTAAATGAAACTGCTTCAAGGAAACGCATAGTGGCTAGATGGATCGAACTGGTCAATTCCAATGAACGAAATGCTTTGTCTTCGAGCCTGGTAATATTCGCTTTCCAGGAACGGTTACGGTTTTTCGCGAAGTAACGGAAATTTAATGGATGCTAGGTAAAAAGGAAGTTTTCCAAGTGTCCTAGCATTAACAGCGACCAGCAGCTGTTCGCCCAGCTGAGCGTTCCCCCACCCAGGATTTTGTCATCACCGACGGATCAATGAATCAGCGGGCCACCCGCTATATTTTCGATTCGAAATCGCGTCGGGAGTTATTCAGAAACGCCAGTTGGTCGTTAAATTACGAAATATTGTTGTTATATCAAGGACGTTGCTAAAAGCATACAGAATCCTAAGTGACTGATCTGAAGGTCAGCATAAAAATAAAAACACAAAAATACTTTGTCCACCGCTCTTTGATCCCTGTAATTCAGCAAAACGGTATTTTTAAAGTGTTTCTCAGAAGTTTTTTTATAGTGATTTATTATACCGGTGCTACACTATCTATACTGTATTTAATATATAAATAACAACAGTTAAGTGTCACACTACCAACGTTCTACATATTTAATACGAGTCTTGTGCATCGCCAGTACCAAGACACGAAGTCCCGCATCGATTTTTCACTTCCTATATTTGCAATAATTTCGTGGTTCTTATTCTTAGCAAATCTTACATTGAATCATTTTCTTATCTGCCTTTAGTTATCTCGTAAATCAATCTGCACGAAATTCACAGAGATACGAGTAATTCAGTTGAAGAGTAAACAATTAGTAGTAAACACAAAGTTCACGACCGCACGTGTACCATGCATTCGCGTCATGATTATTTATATCGAAGCCGAGATTATACGAGTTGTGAGATTCGATAACGAATTAGAAGATAACCCAAGTAACGTCGTCGAGTGGAAGATCGATGCGAGATGGGGTGCCATGGTTCGCGCGATTGAGACGGCCCTGATATTGCTTTAAAAGCCCTCCCCACCACTGGGAATTCCCCCACCAGTCGGAGCGTACCTCTGCTCTTGCCCCTCGGCAACGGCTTGACTGCCCAGCCAGCCAGCCAGTCGAAATCAGCTGACGACTATTACTGGGGGCAGTTGCTACCACGGCTCCTCAAACGCAACACTGTTCAGGCGAGTGGATCCTTTTCTTCATACAACTTCTTCTTCCTCTTTCTTTTTCTATCACTCTCGTTCTCCTTTCGCGTGCTGCTTCTGTTTCTCTGTCGTGTGTCGAGAGGGGTCAACGATACGTCCGTGGCCCCGCGCCTAGCCCAATATTACGTGACGACAAACGGCATACGGCATTTGTCAGTCAGGATAAAGCATCGTCAGACTCGACTCTTCTGCCTGTTCGTTCCTGTTCACCTAGCCTGTCTCTCCTACGGTGTGACTCGAGTACGACGAAGAGGAGCGAAGGGTGACGAAGCCTGAACGGAGCGAGTGAGTGACTGAAGGGGAGAGAAAGATATGTATATAGTACGAGTGACTTAAACTACTGAGTTTTGTCAAGAAAAAAAGGATATTCGTTCAGTGTGAAGGGACGATTCATCGTGAAGAAGTATGCGTCTTGCCTGTCTGCCTGTGCTGCCTGAGTGTACGTACCTGATCCAACCATTCGGGGTGCAGTGGTGTGTGGGTTTTCTGCTTTAACTACGTTATTACTGCATCGAAGGAAAACTACTCCAAGCTGCCCACTCGTTTGAAGAAAGAGAATGACAGAGAGAGAGAGAGAGTGTGTGTGAGAGAGAGCGATAGAACACGCGAATTCGAGATCAAGGTCGTTGTCACAAGCAACTTGAGCGCATCCGTGTGTGTATGTACCTGTATGCGTGTACACGGAAACTTGACTTTTTCGTGACTACCTGTGTAATTATTTTTTGGAGTACGACGGTGCCAAAGATGCGTGTCCGCTGTTGGTATGACATTTCCTCGATTTTACCGACGGAGCATCGAGGCTGCTCGTGAAAGTGATTAAAAGAAAGACAGGAGCGGCCTTGTAACGCGGTCAGGATCGAAGTGCGATGCTGTTGAGGCGGTGAATGTGTAGACGCTAGGTAGTGACAGGGTTATATGCATCATAGAATTCGATCGAATACAGAATGCAGCAGTGCCAGTGAGCGCCCGGTAACCACAGCCCGCTGTTAGAAGTGCAAGGGCAACGTCAGTGGTTGCCTGTAGAGCCGCGAAACGAACGAACGTCAATTGTGCAATACACGTAGCTTCGCGAACGGTCCACGAGCCAATGCGTCTATTCTCGTCGACGATACAACGCGTCCTTTTTATCCGCGAATCGCAAAGCACGCCACCCGTACTACGCGCCGTTTCTTTTCTCTTCGGCCTCGGCCACTCCGCGATTTCGATTCGTCGAACGACTTTGTTTACTCGGACGGTAGGAAGCTGACGGGAGTAACTGCCACGAGAGATGGAGGAAGCGACGGTGGAGGAGGAGGATGAGGAGGAGTATCGCGTGCTGGTTTTTATTCCCCTCCCCTCCCCCCCATTCCTCCGATGAGAGATCAACACTGTTTCTCTCTTTGTTTTACGATCTCCATATTGGCGACACTGCGGCTGGCTCGGTAAGAATATCGCATGCTTAATGGGAACGTCGATCGGGCACGCTCCATTACTGTTTCGTTATCCAATTTTTATCGTCGATGTTTTTAATGATCACGCTTTGAAGTAGAGTCCAGTGTTGGTGTCCATTTTGAGAAACTTATCTGTAAGTTTGAGGCAGTTAGGTGAAGAACTTACAGACGGAGTATACGACCTCCTGAACTCTGATTTCGCCCAAACTTTGCATAGTTATGGAGGACACTAAGGAAGATATTTGTAATGTCTGCAGTAATCGTTCAATAACTTTTGCGGCTTTAGAGATGGTCCTTTCTAAGAAATGGGGAATCATCTAGTGTCATTGGCCATCTAGGTTGAAAAGTGGGGGGCATTGATGTGTGTGGGCAAGAGACGTACCTAACAGAAATTATCGAACGAGTACTGTGCCTAATGAGTCATCTGCTATATTCTAGTGGAAAGGTTACGAGTTCGGTTCTAGTTTAGTGAAGCCAGCTTTCCATTATAATAAAGTAGATTACTCGCTAAGTAGCCATTACTAAGCTTTAAATATTCATCACTCTTCTTTTAGTTATAAAGATTAGATAAGTCGATGATTGTTGAGGTTAGAATCAAACACTTGAAGACTCAAGTTTGTTAATCAACTATGTTTGTAACATAATTTTTTAGACAAATCAAATTCACATTAGAAAACTTAACACTTCCCAAATCGCTTCTAAATTAACTTGAGAATTAGAAAGTTTGGATAAGCTGGTCATTAAGACGTAAGACTGGTCATTAGAAGCTTATTTTAGGTTGACCACTCAAGTTCAGGGTGAAGACAGTGATCCTCTAAAACCGTACAAAAGTTTTTAAGCAGTAACTTGAATTACTACTGACAAGTAAACACTGGCTGTACCTTTGATAGGCTGGTAGAGTGGTAACGCCATGTTTAATTCACGCCCAATCGCCCTTTGAAGTTAGGACATTTGTCTCCAAAGTCAGACGGAGTTTTACTTTTTTGCAAATAACTCCTAAAGTACAACAGCTATAAAAAAATGTTTGCAACAAAAGTTTTATGGTCCAATAAAAGCTACAAACTTGCGTCAATAAAATTTCGAAAAATATTTTTTTCTCAAAATAAGAATTTTGTAAAAAACTTTTTTCAAAATTTCTTTAAGGCAAGTTTATAGCGTTTATGAAACCATCAAACTTTCATTGTAAACATTTAGTTACATCTGTTATATTTGAGGAGTTACAGGCGGAAAATGGGTGGACCGAAGTGCCTTTGATGTTGCTTTTCACCCTTAAGGGCGATTGGGCACGAATGAACCATACCGTTACTCTTCCATTGGGTCACTCTATAAATCTACAGCTTCGTTCAAATCTCTTGTAAATATTTTTCGTGGAAAATCTTCGTTATCCAAAGTTCGAAAGTTTCGTTCGCAAATTGTCTCGCGCCTCTTCTATTTCGGCTTTCATCGATCAGCCGCGTATTATTAGAAACCTTTGCGAACTTGCTCGGAATTTCGTCACCGTGTGCCTCGTGATTGTGTTCTTCTTTCGATCACTGTTTTCATGGTAGTTTTGACCGGGTGATTTTCTTTTGTTCCCTGCGTGGACACATTGACCCCGTTTAATTGCTCCTCGGACAATTTCGTCCGTCATTTCTCGTAGCCGGATGCCAGCGCTCTCGTTGTTATGTAAACTATCGTCGTCTACGAGGTTACATCATTTTCGTGATAAAAACGGTTATGTTACTTTTGGCGCGCTTGCAACGACTGCATTCATTGATTTCGATCGTTCAGCTGCTTTTCAAACTTCCTTGAGTGTAATGGAATAATCAAATTCAGCAAATTGTTAATGTATGTTATATAATATTGTAAATGATTTTTATTAATATAATGTTTAAAAGTATGAAACAATTTTTTTTCTAATTTTTCTCCATTTTTTTCTTAAATAACACACATTGCATTCTTATAAATAAAAGAATGCCTTGATTGTCGATGCGATAAATTTTTATTTTTTTAAATTGTCAAGTGTTTGATTTTATTTATTTATTTTTTATATAAAATTTATCATTCCTTTGTGATAATGGGAGTGTATTTAATCTTCTATTGTGGTGTAACGTGTCGATTTAGATATGGTCCATGTTATATTCTAATTGTTTTTCATTTATACAATTGGGAACACGAAGACTTCGATTACCTTAAAAACGGCTACCTAATCGCCGCTTGAATCACCGACACTATTACTCATGAGTCACTGCATTTTGCGTTGCAACTAGTTCCACCAGCCACAATAGGCAAGAACACTTTTTACCACGATTATGTGTTAACACCACAGTGATGAGCAACTTTTTCTTGCAACGAACCAAACCTGCAAGTAAAAAGAAGTATACAAATAAAATTTAAATTAAATTTTTCAAAACTTCATAAATTACTGTCACCATTCCTTAGAAAGACCCACTTTTAGAACCCCAAAGGCGGGGAATTATCGAACAGCTTCTGTACATATTTGGAGCTGCAGGTTGCTCATCACTATGTTGAAACATTCTGTTTTAACTTGCTTTTTTTATTTTTAAATTCATGGTAATCGATGAAACTGAATTCCGATAGAATTTGAATTCCAAAAAATTCAATGCAGTATTTTTTTTCTCTTTAAGTGTCCTTGTTAATATTTTCAGTGTTTAGTCGAGTTAAAGTACTCTGAAACAACTATAAAACCTGAGTTTGTGAAAATAAACTGAAGTCTAATTTGAGTTGAAAAAAATAAAGCTGTCAGGTATATTTTTTCAAGTACAACTGTTCATCCTCTGCAATAAAAAAATGATAAAATTTGTACAATTTGTTTCGAAATATATATGCAATTTATATTCCAGGAAAATAATCATCAATATCTCTCTTTTTTTATGAATGTACAGTAATATGTTTAATGATTCGAACCTCTGTTTTCAATCGGTTTTTTTGGATTGATATAACGTTCACTTATCGTACAAATAAATTACAATTGCGACGATGAAATCAGTGACTTTTCTGACGCAACGATAAGACTACAGTAACAAGCGCGATTAGCCTGATTATGATTCACGAGAAACGGGCGAAATCGATAGACTGGTAGCATTTGTTATTCTGTGTGATATCTGCGCAAAAAGAAAACAGTATGATAAGGAGAATGAAAAAAGGAAAAAAAAAACGATGACCAGGCAAGAAAAAAATGCCGATAATGCAGTCAATTTGCGCTGTTTAATTTATTCAACATTTCATCCAGATAATTCGATGATAAACCAAAACGATTTGTTCCAATTTACACGAGTCATAAAAAACGATGCATCTTTATAGATACTCGTATTTTGTTGTTTGACTTCGTTTAGGTGTCGTTTGTTTTGTATTTTGTGTTAAAATGTAAGTTTTATGGCAGGTTAATTAGTCATGTTTGATATGAGTTGAAGATTGGGTCACTTAGAAACGTGCCGTTATATTATGTAAATAACAAACAAAATTGTAAAATGTATAATTATTTGTGATTTAAATGCACTTAAAAAAAATTTTTTTCAGTACTTCTCTAATTGTCCCTGTGCTGCCTAACAAGTGGAACTACCCAAATGTTACACTCATTTATTAATGAAACTTTGCCAGCTTGTAGAGCTCGTCGAGCTGAACACGCCTATACCCCGTTTTGTGGGCAGACGACTAATTGTTTAAAAGATATTAATAATTAAAGTTAGTTACTACTTACATTGAGAAGTATGACAGACTCACACATACAATTCGCAATCTAGAGATCCACGGTTCAAATCCTTGATTCCCAAGATTTTTTTTTCTTTAATGATAATTTGTCTCTTTCTGAATAACTATTACATAAAAATTATCATAAAATAAAAAAAAAATTGTTTTGTGCACCAAGGATTTGAACCGAGGACCTTCAAGTTGGAAGTGATGGATCTGCTCCGTGGTTAAACATAGGACTCGCAATCTAAAGGTCCTCGGTTCAAATCCTGGAAACTGTTTTTTTTTTTTTTTTTTTTTTTTTTTATAATGAGAATTTTTATGTAATAGCTATTCAAAAAGACACAAATTATTATTAAAAAAAAAAAACTGTTGGGAACCAAGGATTTGAACCGTGGATCTCTAGATTGCGAATGGTATGTGTTAGTTTGTCATACTTCAGAATGTAAGGAGTAACTAACTGTAATTGTTAATGTCTTTTAAATAATTAGCTGTCTGCCCACAAAACGGGATATAGGCGTGTTCAGCTCGACGAGGTCTACAAGCTGGCAAAGTTTCATTAATAAGTGGGTAGTTCTCCTTGTAAGATTTGCGACAATTAGAGAGGTACTGTTATATCATTAAAATAACAAATTCAGAGTTCAAAAGAAACAAAATGATTGTCTTACGTAATTTTTGACAACTTTGATGTGTCAACGAGAGCGTTAATTAGAAACTTCATAAAAAAAGTTGATTTAATTACCGGTCTCGAATCTCATCGCGTCTCCATCGCGTTAATTTCATAGAAGAGTGTTACGAAACGGCACGTTTCAAGGAGAAACGTGTAAAAAGTGAATCGTTATCCATTAACATAATTACGAGGAGAGACACTCAGCATGATAAAACGCATGTGTGCACGTGGTTGGGTGTGTGTATGTTACACATAATATTTCAGCGAGTGACACGGTAACCGATGATGCGTTAAGAGTCATGAAAAACGAGGCGAGAAAGGAAAAATCGTCTTTGCGTAACGAAGCAGCCGAAGTATTTATAGCGGCGGGAAAAAAGAGGGCCCGTACTTTGACCGCGTAATTCAAATTTCGCGGGCAAACACGCGCGTCCTAAATCGAGCTAATAACACGCCTCGAAACGTGTCTAAAACGTAAAAGCAGCAATCGAATGATTTTATTTCAATTTTGTACAATTATTAACTTTCAAAATCTGTATAATTGTACAGAAGAAAAATTATAATCCCAAAGTTTCAATTCCATTTAATTAAAAATAGAAAAAATCTCTTTTCGTCGAAAACATTCGAACATGTGACAGGAAATAAATCGAATACGGTTCCATTTCTGAAATTCAATTAAACTTTCCATTCTGTTGGTCCCTCTTTCTCTGCTACGATACACGTGCTAATCAACTCTCGTTGCAATTTCGCTATTTTTCATCTGAATTTTCCTGCTTTTTCATCGAAGCCTGACGAGAAATCGAAGATCCACCGATGGAGTCACGGTTGTGTCACGTGTTTCGCGGCAATAATACAGAAGCCCGTTATCCGTTCGCGTGAAATTAGCAAAACAGATGTTCAAACCGCGATAGGATGAAACACGCTTCACTCTCCACGACGTGTTTTCACTCGTTTCATGAATCATTCGGGCTTAGTCTCGGGGCGCGAACGTTTCTAGCACGACCAGTGTTATCGAACTTGTTGCCTTATCAGCGAGTAAACACACACCGGGAAGCTGCGGAATATTTTAATTGCGAATCTCGTTCTAGCTTCTTCCCGTCATTTTTTACTCGCGATTCGAATCTCGTGAGCAAAGTTTGCGAATGATCGAGGTGACTGAACTTGTGTGTGCATTCGGATTGAAGATCAGGGATGGATCCAGAAGCTCTTCAGAAGAGCGAAATATCTAGAAGATACACTTTTCAAATGGGACTTTAAAACTCTCAGATATTCATTATTTTAATATTCAACAATTTGAAAATTATAAATAATTTGATGAAATCCCCCTCTAGATTCGTTCTTGCTGGAGATAAAGTGTGTTCAGTGTAGTAATAGTATTGCCAGTGGTGTATACTTTGATATGTATCGAAATGATTGGAGAACTTGTAATGGAACAGGTGATATGCCGTCGTGATAGTGGAAGAAACTATAGTTGATTTAGTTGATTTTCACTCCTGGTGTTTCTGGCTGTGAATGAAAGGTTGTTTCTGCGCAGATTAGCAAAATTTGTAACGGTAAGTATAAATAATAGTATATTAACTCTTTCGACTCGATATTGGTACAGTGCTCAACTGTACTTAGAAATTGTAATAATTTATATGACTCGGGTCAGAGGGGTTAATTGAGCTGCATGTGTGATCCTTAGATACAAACTGAAACTTGATGTCAGACCTTAGTTCATTTCCATTTCGTAAATTAGCATATTATTCGTACGGTCGTGATAAATAGGTCACCCGTTATGTGGCACGTGTTTCGGGTCCTTCGACCTGTGTCATTCGTGAAGATGGCGCATTTAGCAGCCTATAAGAAACTTATCGATTCGCTGTCAGGGTCAAAGAACGCTGGTTATTTGACTTGTCACTCAGCGTAACGCACACCATGCGAATTCTTACGAGAGGCAATAATTATAACATGCTGGCCATGGGCCCGATAGCGCTGCTACTACGCACTTCAGCGTGCTCGCGCGCGGATGGACGGGTTCCGCGTGGATGATCGCTATGTATTGCGCGACAAACGCGCGCGAGCGCGTGACACTTTGCGATCGATGGGATCCTTTCGAAAAGATTTCCGAAGTATGGAAGCATTTTTATTAAAATAAAAAAGCAGGAAAGCTTTAGGTACTAAATCTTCGGATGCATCGTCAATAATACGGTGGAAGCAAACACGTTAATCAGTACTAACATGCTCGCTTTATCTTGGATTTGCATTTCTACGGCTTCTCAATAGTTTCCGTAAGCAAATACACCGTCTTCGTTCCTGTTCTCCATCTGATACTAAATTAAATCATTTCCTTTAACCCTTGAGTACCATGGTGGGGTCAGATTTGATCCTGTAAAAGTGACTGTAAATTAGGGTTCTTTATTTTGAGGACACCCTATGTATTCATAAAATCTTCCACCATTTCGTACGATCGTCACCAAAAGACATTTTATTCGAACGGATGGTTCACGGACGTTTTGCAGGCGCTGAAGAGCTAAAAGAAGGTCAGGATGCTGAGCAGCTTGGCAAACTACTTACTCGGAGGTAATATCTCCGGCGCACAAGATTCACGGGAAGGGTCCAATAACGAAACCCCGGAGTCCCTTCCAGTAATGGCGAGGCTCAGTCAGGTGGAGGTCGAGGGTGATGACTGGATCCTCATTGACCGTGCTGGTACGTCTGGCACCCTTTTACAAAGGGACCGTGCTCGAGAAATTCGAAAAAGTCTGTCGACCCTTTGCAGTCTGACTACTTCTCACGTTGGGGGTGCTTCTGTGTGTTCGGGCAGTGTAAAACGAGACGCGTGTTTGGATGAGGAGGCAGCGAATAATGTGATTACTCTTCGCTGAAATATAACCAGCTGTCTAAAGACGATCGAGTTCGTTTCGTAAAGTCAGAACAGATTTTGAATCTTTCCTCATGCGGAAATTCTTTTGCACGTGCTCGCGTTTAATAATTCGAGCACGAAATTATCAGGTTCATTAAAATGCAGTCCTTATCGTTCTTAAAACAACGTGAGTAATGCAATGTATTCGCTGCTTAAAATCATTCAAATCAAGCTTAAAATATTTTTCATTGTGCTTGAGAATTATAGAAGATAATTGGTATGACGCACACTCTGCGTCATCGATTTCAAATAGGTTAGGCTAACCGCTAGAAACCGACCGGAGGCCACAAATTAGTGCTGTCCGCAGCAGGGGTCCTTTACGAGCTTCGACTATCCCCAATCACTCACAGTCTTCCTTTGATCTCCCCAACACACATTTGTGAATACATGGATCCGCTTCGTAGACTAGGCAGCTAATACAGCTATACGCATACACATATTGGCGAACTCATGAGTCCCATCTGTGGATTAAACGACCAGTGCACCCATGCAGGTGTATGCACTTATGGACTCATGGGCCCCATTTATAAGAGGAATCATAGATAAGGTAGCTGTCTATGAATGCGAAGGTCCTAAGTTCTATTTCCAGTGCCACAATCCTAACCTAATATAACCTAACCCAATCATGAAATTCATGTGTTCCCCTTGTGGACCATGTTAGCACATGCATACACATTTGTATCGAAGTCTCTAAAGATTCCAGTGAACAGTAGTGGAACAAATAAAGACTAATCTGAGGTCTGTTTCTAAATCACAGTTGAGGGCACGACGGCGCTGGAGGAGTCGTGGTATGTAACGCCACCCGCGTGCTTCACACGGGCGGGACCCGTGAATGTAGAAACTTCACCGCTAGAGGACCTGCTGATAGAGCACCCCAGTATGTCCGTTTACCGAGCCACAGCGTCTCCGGTCGCCCCCGACACTCCACCCCCCACGCCGGATGCTCCGGAAGAGCGGGACGTCGAGGAGGACGTTTTACCTGCTGTCGTTTCCGGTACACCAGCCGAGGCAGCCTCTTTGGAACGCCCTAGTCCAAGAAGAAGCGAGGACGAAGAAGCAACGCGCAGACCGGCCATCCACGACGGAAGACCCGTCAGCGGCCGCGTCCGCACCGAGAAGAGGATAGTTCAGCTTCGATCGGCGCAAAAGGTATCTATTGTTCTGTTGCCTACGTCAAGTGACGCTGATGTCAGTAAGGTTGTATCTTTAACTCCCAATGGGCACCATTAGGACAGGCATTTATGTAGCGCCCTGGCTAATGTTTCAGGTTCTTATGTTTCTGTAATTGTTTCGCTGATCAGATTTCTTATCCATCTTACGTCCTTGCTATATAACTGATGTTGTCATCAAACGCGATAGATGTTTTAGTCAACAGCCTGTTGCACGATGATCACTAAGAGGCAGCAATTAAATTATGTTCAGGTCCTCGAGAAGAGGTCCACCCAAGCGTTGAAGAGAGGCCGCCTGGAGAGGAGTAACAAGCTGAGGGAAGTGTTCAGTGTAAAAGGCAAGCGGCCACGTCGCCAAGACCGCTTGCGGATCCAGAACAGTGGCGCGAATAACAACCGGAAATGCTAGTCATTCGATCTCAGGCCAAGGTGTACTAAAATACCTTATTCCTAACACATAAAAAAAAAAAAAAAAAAAAAAAAAAAACGAAAAGAAAAAAAAATGACGACGTACACGCGTACAAGAGCCACACGCAAGCGCGGACAAAGTAAAAGGCTGGCGCAAAATTGAAGACGAAGAGGAACATGAAGAGCCAAGTTTAAGTTTTAACTGCCGTATCGCGTTCTCGCTCGTCGTCACCCACATCGAACACACCAGGTGCACACGAATGTATTAATGTAAGCTGCGAGAAACATAGTCGAAGTAGAGACTGTGCTTTAATCATCGACGATGGGTGCCCTCTCTCATCGCGCGAACAAACGCATCAAGTTTTTATTAGTTAATCCGCTCGCATGCGTACAGAACCCTCTGGAATCACGTGTTTTCATCGAAGAAAGGACCTTAAAGCAATTTGTACCAAAGTACAGGCGGCACCCGTGTATAGCCTCTGTCGAAATTCGCCACTGTCAGGGTGTCCGTCCAGGTCTGCCACACAATTCGAAAGAAAGATTTGCGTGAACGCAGCAGGTTCACTCGCGATGAGAGATTCGATGGGGTCGGACGCGTACGGATACATTGGCGAGCAAAGTAGTTTTCCCTAGGGAAGGCTACCATGCCCGACACCTTGCGCATCTTCCCAGTTTCAATCGCGTGTATACTCGGTCTTAGCCTCTAGCATAGGGCAAAACGTGTTTCTACTCGTGTATACGTTAACGTTAGTTTTTATTTAAGACGATTATAACGGCCTGCCCCTCGTAGCGGGCAGGACAATTTAGCGTAATCTCCGAATCCATGATTTTCTGTCCATCCGTCTGTTCCTTTATTTTTCGCTTATTTTCAATGAAACGATCAAGAAATTCACTTCGGGACCACGCGTTTTCGGTTCGTCTTATGATTAAATTCGCGCTGGAATTTCGCGACCACGAGGAATACGACGAAGAGGATGCGTAGCGAACACTCGGTTGATCGCCATCCGGATAAGTGTGTTCAAAGATGGTCAGACTGATTCAGAGACGCGTCTGAACGATCTAACGTCTGTCAACTATGGGTGTCCGAATAAATATATTTATTTAGCGGCACATGGTATGGTAATATCGATTAATATTATGCGTAACGTTAGGTAGGCTATGATAAAACGCGCGATCGACGTGACAAAGTCCCATACGATGTTCTATGAGACTTCGTCGCGCATAGCTTTGCGTAGAACGATGAAAATGACACTTTAGCACGTTAACCCGGATTTATAGCAAGAAAAAACAGCCGTGTCCCCTCGTGCTACCTTCAGACGGGGCACCCAATGACTGTGAATAACCATGGGCTATTAATCGCTTTGAATGTCATGTGAAAATAAAAACATTTTTGGAAGTTTTGAAGATCTTGATGTCAGTGTTTGAGTGAGCAATGAAGCGAATGATGTAAAATATTATTATGAATAATTTGATTTTGTTGTTGCATACGTAATAGGAAAAAATATACTTATTTCTTTTAAATGACTTTCTATTTTCTTTACTTCAAGGATCTCCATTTTTGTATTACCACCTGATGTGGTTTTTTATTTAAGAAGCTTGAGAGTCTAACAAGATGCTTGTTTATTCATAAATAAAGATTGATATTGTGATACACAGTTCATTTCCGAAATGTTCAAAACTTCCAAGAATTTTTTAATGAAAAATTTGCAAGAATGCTCATAACCCCAATGACCCAAAATATGTAAGTGAATTCAAGCGGTTTGTTGAACGCGCGAAAAAGAGGCACGGCTTCAAAAGAGATTCCAACATTGAGAATCGGTTTCTATATACCCGATGCGCGTTATAGGGCATCAACAATTTCAAAGTATGGAGATTGAAAGAAAGGAGAATAAGAGAAATGGCGCATACTCTCCCGGCGTCTCCAGTCCACCGTTAACTCGGTCGATAAGTCAGATTTCCGCTTATGCCGGAAATTGGTAATAGATTGAAAATTTCAAATAACGTCCAAGCGATCCTCTGGTGATTTCTTCTGTGAAGAAGAGCGTTGATACGATTAAACCACGACACCGATTTCTTCTAACATTCCTGCTCTTCGACATGATTAATACATTTGGTCGTCAAAGTCCAAACGAATCTCATCATCATTAGAGTGTCAATACGTTTACTACCAAGCATTGGTTTAGCAGCTCTTTGTTTTATAAACAATGGTCACCTATGCATGGTGCTGGTAGTAAAGGTGTTAGCTAACCTAATCTAACCTAAGCTTCATTTTACTGGAGCTGTGTATCATCCTAGATTGATCAACAATAGACATTCAGACTGTGATTGAATTCAACGCTATAGAGACCTTGGATTCCCTACTTTATAGTCCTAGAGTCACCATTTCACCCCCATAATATTGGTTCCAAGATGCCTAACCTAACGTGACCTGTCTCATCCTGCTGAAGCTGTATATTATTCCTCATTGATAATGACAGACGTTCAGACTGTGATTGAGTTAAACACTATAGAGTCCTTTACTTGGATCCTCTACTTCATGATCCTATGGTCACCATTCTAACCCCGTAATGATGACTCTGAGATACCTAACCTATTAGTCAAGTGATAGCTAGCTCTGATAGTACTTAACGAACCCAGAGGATAATGGGACAATTGAGGCTCCATTTTTTAACTCTGAACAAATGAACATAATGTCCAAAGGATTTAGCTAACATTTTGTAAATAAAATTGAAGAGCAAACATGGTGGACAGAAGTGATAGGAGGCTAGATACTTGGCTAGGTGCACACTGAACGTAACTTGATGGACGAGAGGAGAGTTAAAGCGCGATTAATTAATTGTATACACGTATTGTTTATATCTAACCTTTCTCTCGTAAGGAACAGTGTTCGTCCTGAAGTTATCGTCGCGGTATAGCAATTAATGTCTTTAGAAGAGGAGACGTTCTAGCGTTCGCGAGACGCGACTCAAGTCGACATCGTGATCCGGACTTTTTAATTCGTATTGTTTTTTTTTTTTTTTTTTTTTGACTTTTGTTGTATCAATTGATCGACATGTATTATTTGAATGTATGCTCGTACACCTTGGCCCTTATAACGATGATTAATAAACTATTTTATGTCACAAATTATGCAGTCATTTTTAATGATCACCCTTCTTTTGTATATAGCGTGGAGAATGGAAGAATAAAGATGAAAAGTGATTAAAAATTCATTATCTGATCCAGGTAAGGTGGAAGATCAATTTTATGTTCAATTAGTCAAATATCCGCTGAGATCGTCATCAGATTTCTTGAAATCAGCAATGTAACCACAACTGTGCACAGAGTGGGGTGTTCTATCCTTTGGGCTGAGCATGGAACGCAGATTACTCTCGCTGTTTAAGTTCAAGGACATCTCCCTTTTGATGTCTGTGCAACGACCAATTTCATAGTCCATATCGATCTCTTTGCCCCTTCGGTTCTTCGTGAACAATAGTTCCAAGCTGTAAATAACGCTGACCAGCTCCTCCTCCAGCTGTGGATCGCAGGAAAACGAGACCATACCTGGCTCGCAACCGGGAGCGCCTGTTGAATCGTTGAATAATTGAGACTTAACAAGTACTGACTTGAATGAATAATTTATAGCGATTGATTGACAAGAAGAATTTAAGTGCCTAAGGCATTGAAAGGGTTCTGTTGTGCGAATTTAATGATTTTTGGTATACTTGTAAAATTTTTTTAAATTTCAAAATTTATGTCATGTCAGCAAGTCTAGCTAACCTTGGGTGTCCTGTACTGTCTCCCATCGAATCAGAGCCTCCTGCAGTGGTTTATAAAGCTGTCGTCTATTAGGGCAACACCAGCTTGCAACTTTGGCATCCAGTTGCACCCTGTCTTCGGTGCCAAGCTGGCTCCAGCTTAGGAACAGCTGCTTCAATCGTGGAACTGTCATAGAACCCCATCATAATTACGTATCTATGGTCAATGCAATGACAATTACATTGATTTTGGAAAATTAATAAAAATACTAAAATTGAAATTAAAACAAAATTTTTTATCCTGATTGAATTAGAATTATTCTGTTTTTAATATTGTAACCTTATCGTTGCGTTTCTAATGAACATAAAGACCGATTTTAAGGTTCAACGTACCTTCGGGAATCAAAACGAATATCGTGTCGCATATCTGCTCGAAAACAGACTCATCCATCGATTCATCTGTATCGTTCTCGTTATTAATAGTGATCGTTGATTTAGATTGCATCGCGCATTTTCAATCGCTAATTAAATTTCTGTCATTTTCCCGTGCAAACAAAATGTTTGCATATTCGTGACGTTGCATTCCGCGCGCAACTTCGCTTGGATTTTCAAAAAAAAGTAACTCTCGTTTTGCAAAACCTTGAAATTTTGCTCATCATCCATGATACCATTTCCTCACATATTTTATTTTGTAATTAATTTTATATCCCTCTTTATCCCTCTTTATAAGCCAAAGCCCATCCTTTCCAGTTATGAATTATTTTATCCTTCTTTGTGGCCCAAGACCCACGCTTCCTAATTACTTATCCCATTCTTCTTTATGAACCAAGGCATCCCTTTTCAGTTATATATTTTTTCATTCATTTCATGAGCCTCATTCATTTCATGAACCACCCCTAAATCACTGTATTTCCGTATCCCTTACATCTCTGCATCCTTTACACCGTAGTATCCCTTACATTTCCGCATCTCTTATATCCCTGCACCAGAGAGCGAAAAATCGTGCCGAATTTAATTTCCATTTTCACCGCCAGAGGGCGCTGACTCGGCGTTCTAAATTTAGTTCATATTTTTGCCGCTAGAGGGCCAAAATTTCGGCAAGCTTTCGTTCCCCTTTTCGCCACCAGATGGCGCTGATTCGACATTCGAAATTTAGTTGAAATTTTTGCCGCTAGAGGGCTGGAAATTTATGGCAATTTTATTTCCGATTTTTAATTATTATACTAATTAAAATTGATTTTCCAACGATTATTTATTTTATTTGATAAAAACAAAAGTATAATTTATCGAAGTATTGGACACAAACCCATGGTTCGAGTCTGAGCTAAAAATCTTGGAAGCTTCGAAGCTTACAAGATGGAGGTCGAAGAGTACGTAAGCTACGAGTTTCAAGGTATTCTCGAGGAATTTGGAAGAATTCGCGACGTATGGGAATTTATTCACTCTGTTTTATTTAAAATATCAATTATTTTGTAAATTTTTTCATTTTTGACAGGCGTACGTAGCTTTAAAAGCTTATTGCAAGATACAAGACGAAACTATGACAATGGAGAAAGAACGCTCGGAAAGAATGAGGGAGAATTTAGAAAAATTGTCCAGGACTTATCTACTTTTGGAAAGAAGATGCAAATCTACAATAGTGGCATTGCAAACAGAGAAGGAGGGTCTTCTTAAGACGATCGAAGATTTGAAAGAACAATGCGATCACTTGCGACTGATTAATTCTGAACGCAATGCAAATGACGAGCGAAGTATGTTAATATTATTGTTAATATTATTTCAATTTTTTCAAGTTTTTTAAATAAATATTTTATTAATTTCTCTAAGGTTTTTTGTTCTGAATATTTACAGATTTTTATTGTTTTTATAATTTGTTAATTTTTGTTGGTTAGATATTATTATTGAGTTGTTTATTACATAGCATATCAATTACAAGATGAAATTGAAATTTTGAAGGCTCAATTGTCGATGCAAGAAGAAAAACACAACGAGGATATAGCTTTGTTAAAACAGAAACATTCTGACGAAATACAAAGATATAAAATGTTATTGCAAAATACTAAGAAGAATACTACTAGACCAAAAAATCTTGTTAAAAGTAAAAACAATACTTCTTGCTTTAGGTAATATCATTTATTGCTAATTATTTAATTTTTAAGCATTAACTTCTTTCAATTGTTAAAAATATTGCTTAAATTCTTACCTTAAATAAATGTCCAATGTCGTATCATGAACATTTTATTTTAAATTGCACTTACAATAAAATATTGTCATAAAATCAAACATTTAATTATTATAATAATCATAAATAATATATTACAAATCAAGGTGGCCAGAATTAAATATAGAAAGACATAAGAGCAACCTGATGGATATTAAAAACGAATCCACCGGAAGTAAAAGTCAGGGAAACAAGAAGAGGAAATTGTTTTCTGAAGACAGAACAGCTACATTCGATATTGTTTAAAACAAAATCACTATCAATTACGTTGAAATAAAACTAATTATACTTGTTTCTTATCTTACACTAGCAACAATTTTTGGTTCGATTCAGAAATTCTTAAATAGATAATATTATTCAATGTTTAAGATCCTTGAGTTTAATTTACAATTATAATTTCTTTTCTTTCTGTCAAAATTATTTACTAATTTTACGATTCAATGAGTTCCAGCTGTTTGTATAATCAATCTTTAAATGTCCATATGTGTTCAAATCGAGATGCGGGGGCGGTACAATGTGCATCATACATTCTTCTTGTTCCAATGAACGATATTCTGTTCGCGGATGATGCTCTTGAATATCTACAGAAAATAAAATAATAATAAATTACAGTAATTAACCAAAGAAAAGTTAAGTTAGCAACTTTGTTTTATAACAAATACAACTGAAGTGAAAAATAAATTATTAATTTATGCTTTGTTGATAAATTGTTATTTATTTACCTAATTCCACTGTATCCATTGGTGGCATATGATTCACATACATAGACCTTGAGAAAGATACTTTGCAATTATTTTTTTTGTACGCAAAAATTGATTGAAAATTAGAATTGAAAATACCTATGAGTATCTTTTATTGGCGTAGATTTGCATCTGTGCCTGTGCCGCCTGTGGTCTTCCACATATTTACCATGTCTCACTTCTGAAATGAAAATATAAATAGAAGCATATCAGCTTATTTTAATTTTCAATTAGTGAAAACCTGAAAATCAGGTCAACGTGTAGTAACTGTTTCTAAAATATAAAATCTTCTATAAATAATTCCGTACAGATTGATAATTAAAAACAGAAAGCTACGAATGTCTTCATGTATTAATGTTGAAAAATGATATACAAAAATACCTATATTTTATCACTTTCAAAGAGAAAGCCGCCAAACGAAACTTCACATCCGATCCAATTTTGTACAGCGGAGGTAACTTTCTCAAAAACAAACTATCTACGTTCCATCTGTTTATCAACGCTAAACAATCAATTTTCTGGTTGTTGGTAAATGGTTCCCCCATAAAAAGTCTAATTTACAATACGCACTTACATAACAAAAGTCTGTTTTCCTTGTGAAAGTAGTATCAGACCATCTGTGGTCAGTCAAAAACAATTCATTTGCATTGTGGTCGTTGGGTCACGTAATTTTGTATATTTTTTCAAAAAGAATATATTTATTTTCTGTTATAACGAAGTGATAATAAATTACTGGACTCGACTATAATAAATTATTAAGGAAATGGGTGGGTTGGACACCCACCGACGCCTTCTTCTATGCAATTCGGAACGAGGACGTGGAAATCGTCGCGATGACACGAGAGTTATTATAGCTGATTTATGAATAGATATATTTTGTTGTCTGTGATTGAAAATCGACAGTATCAAACTCGTTTTCTCCTCGTTAATCGATATTCTTGCACACGTTGCGACACGATTGCGTGTTGCGATTCGAAAACATTATGCAATTCGCGCTTCAGCTTCGCGATGCATGTGCTGGCGCGTCGCACGCGTTTCCTCGAGGAATGCACTTCCGTTTCAGGGCCGATCGCCATTAATGGCCGACGGTAAGGAACCAGACTTTACCAAAAGTATCAACTGGTATTCCATGAGACCGTCTACCTTTTATGGCACCTGCTATGTAATCACAGACCGCGCTATTCGATCGTTAAGATTTAATTATTGAAATTTGAAACATTCCGAGGCCATAAGTAAAAAGATAGAAAATTGAATTCCTTTCCTTTAATGCATGTCACCGATTCCCACAATTGTGCAATTAATGAATTTCCCATTGTATCCTCCCATTAAAAATACAAATGTCATTCGCATGGATGATTTAGCATTTGCAGGAGAAAGCAGGGACGCTCGAAAGCTACTGGAAATAGTAATAATAATAACGCGTCGCAGAAGCGTATAAAGGACGATTCGTCACGGCGATAGAGGCTTTCTAGGACAAGATAGAAATCGTGGTCGAGTTATTGCAACGCGTGACGAATCGTCGATAAGCTTTCAATCAATGGACAATGTTCGGTTGCAACGATTATTGTCCCTTGTGACATTTAGTTTATGACACTATAATGAATATGTACCATTTGGAGTTTTATGCATATCCTTTAAATGATATCTATTACAAAATTTCCTATTGCCTTAAACTACCAAAAAACCTGTTCTACACTTTATGCTACCTATCAACACCATCAATCATCACGGACTATTTACGAAAGTGGTATATTCCAGAATATATCAAACAGCATGTAGTTAGCTTTCTCAGTGAAAACAGTTTCCGTTGTTTCCCCGCCTCTAATTTACTGCATGAGCCTCGATTCGATATCCAGGGAGTACTTTCAGGGAAAAAGCAATTAATCTTACCGGAGAGAGGCGCGTAGACCGGAAACGGGGCGACGTAATCCGGTACCTCGTCCTCGTAGATCGGCTGGTGATAATAACAACTATTGTTCGTTGGCCTGACTGGTCCACAGTACAATTCTTCCACGAAAGCTGGTGCTACGTACCCCGGTTCTCTTGTAGACGACGAGTACCTACAATGTTCGTTCATTTCTTTTGTTAATTAGTCCCTTAATTAGTATCTGTCCAACATATAAATGGCAACAGTTCATCACCCTCAACCTACATCATTTAACATATTTTATCAAATATTTCTAATTATAAAGGGGCTAATTATTTTTTTTTTTTTGAAGTTAGTTTTCTTATTTCAGCAATTATCTGTATAGCGATCATTAAATTGATTTCTATGGTAGTTTCTATCGTACTAGAGGATAAATTACATGTTCGCTATTAAATTCTAGCTCTAGCTCGAGGCGGGTTCAGTTTATTATCATTAATCGCGCGTTCCCGTGATTTTTCGCTTGAAAATCGGTAAATTAGCCGTGCTCGCAACGCGAAACGACTCAAGAGACCCCGCCTTTCACCGACTCGTTTCGAATGATCGATTTAAACGCAGCTATGGGGTTCAATGCACCATGATTGGATCGTTGATGAATGCCTATTACGATTAAAGGAAGTGTCTCTTTCCGGCAATTAAATCGTCGTGTAATTGTGCACCGACTTGTGGTCAGCTTTATTATGCAAGTACGTTTACGCATAATTTAAAAAGAAAGAAATGAAAATTAAAAATAGGATCATTGGGTGAAATGTTAGGTCAGGGGATTGATGAACCTTGACTATTCAATGTTCTTATGAGCAAACATAACATCATTTGCAATTTAAGATGGAAGTTTATGAAATTTTAATAATGGTACTTTCTCATATGAAATATTATCTTTTGATCAAATTAAGTACTTAAGATTTTGAAATGAACTGAAATTAAAATTAATTACTTTTCACTACAACCTACAAATCACCTCCTCCATTTGATTTGAACCCTCCCTATGTTTTCTTAAAAACTAGAAAGTGTTTATTTTCACAATTAATGATTGCAAAAATTGAATAATGTTTATATTCTCACTTATACTATTATATCTCAGCACGTCTTGAAAAAGGAACGCGTTTCTTTAGAAAGAGATAGAGACGAGCGAAGTGAAGGTGTAGTTTAATGTAATAAGTACATAAATATTACAAGAGAGCAACGCTCAAGAACACAGCATGGCCTACTTCGCGCCCACCGATACGATCTTCGCGAGCAAATTGCAAGCCATGAAAAATATATTAGGTTAAACAGACTGTGAACGAAAGAAAAAAAAAAAAGGAAGAGGCAAATATTACGTTCGTAAACAATATGACGAGTTTCTTTATGCAATCGACTTAAGATCGATGAATTATTCATGTTAAATCATTTCTATTCCATAAACTTTTGGTTTCACAATTTCCCATTTTTTTTCTTTTTCTAGTTTTTCATTTTCCCAAAAATTTGGGTCAAATAGGAGATTAGGCCTCTTCAATTTGGGCCATTATATTTTGTTTCCAAGATTTTGGAACACCCTGTATATTTGATGGATCATTTTGATTTATTTTCTTAGCCGATCGTATCGTATCGATTTCATCGATTTACACAGGTGATCAAGTGTCACTTACCAATATTCAGAATGGGCGCGAGACTCTTGTGACATACGATGTGCCTGATGCCGATGGTGTCGCGACGCCTGTTGCGTCAGGCCAGCAACGCTGTGGCGACGCAGGTACGCGTAGTTCTCCAGGTCCCACGGGTCCACATAGTGCCTGCTGGCGCTTCCGGTACTGCCGCCGGATGTGGAGCGCTGGGAACCAACCGAATCCCAATAAATCGAGGACTCTGCTGGCATTTTCATGTCTCGGCGATTTCCGTCGCACTTCTGCCTTTTTTCCAAATATTTTATCGAGATCCTCGAAAATCTGTCTTTCAAATCTGGATGGAATTCTAAGTTTTGTATAAAAATTTTATTTTTTCTGATTTTTTTTTATTGCTTTTTAAATAAATTTTTAATGTAGAAACTTCATTTAACACGTGGGAACACCACGAGATCACACTCGATGACTGTTCGAAGCTTCAACTCTTATTCGTTCGCGGTTCTATCGCAACGTGAGCGAGCTTGTCCGTTTCCGGTGTCGCATTGTGTACGCCACGAGCACGATTTCGCTTGTGGATCCGTTCGGTCAGCTTGGAACCGCGGGCTTCACTGTTTTTCCTCTTCTACCAGCCACAGGTAGATGCCGATCTCGAAGACTTTCACGCCTGCGCCAACCCCACCATCTTCTACAACTGGTGCACCGTGATATTTATCCATTGCACCTGTAATTGGATCTACCCCACCCTTAAACGCCTTGTTTTCGGCCAGCACTATTGACCTGGTGATATATTACCTGAGGTGTGGGTGGAGGGGGATCACATGATCTAATCAATTTTTATTTTTATTTAAATTCTATATATGTAATATTTTTTGTATTTACAAAATAATAAAAATTGCTCTTCATTTAATATTACTTTTCTCAATTTTAATAATGGTTACCTTATGACTTTTTCAATCCTAATGAAGGTTTTACTTTTGTCAAAGAATTGTCCAACAAGTACCTCCGAAATAGCACAAATCATAAATCAAGCGTAAAATCGAGAGTAACGTTCGTTTTTATTAGCTAGTTAAAAGTATATCTGAGGAAAGAACCGATGACATTCTTTCAGTCGCTCATTATTTCTTTCATTCGTTCGAATTCCCATGGTAGATAATTGCGCAATAGAATTTCATTGGCCATTCGAAGAAACAATCGTCAAACCGATTCCCGCTTAATTATATCGAACGTGTGTGTAACGACGTTGTCCACTCAACTAAATCGAATAATACCTCGGGCGAGTCGATTAAGTTGCGTTACTGCCGCGTTTTAGCGGGATGGATGGTGTCAGGTGCACGGAACCGACGAGACTGAAACTGAATTCCGTGATTACCATTTCCAGAAAGCTGTATTAGAATTTTTTTCTGTGGAATTTAAATATTTGAAAGCTTCGTTAATTAAATAATAAAATTTTTCAACAATTTTTTAAAAAATGGAACTTCAAAGAAAATGTTTCCTAAAATTTCGAAAGAATAAAATATTAAAAATTCAGATTTTCATTGCAAAATAAGAATAAAAAAGAAGAAAATGAAAAATAACGAGGAAGAATGAAGGACCACGAGTGAAATCAGTATACAAAATATAATTGGTCGGTAAACATAATACAATATCGAAGATATCAATCAAATCACAAGGCAGCTATAAAGGTAATATAACGCTACGATCACAAATAAGACAGCAGTGAACGCTGGATAAAATTAATCTCGTAACTGAAAGAAAATGGGAACAGATCCTATTCGATATTCCAGTATCTTCGCGACGATATAAAGTCAACGATCGTTAGCAACCATGAAAATACCGATCCAACGGTTTTGCTCTTCGTTAGTGATCGTGAATATTCATGCGATACAGATCGATCCGGTCTATCGAAAACTGAAACCGCTAGAAAGCCGGAATCATCCGGCACTTTCCTCGATCTCGTTTACAGTGTGAACCTTCCTTGACTGTATATTTCCGTTTTTCTTGCTTTCCCTTTGAAGCAGTTTAACCCTTCACAATATGATCTTATTTAGCAATACAATGTTCTAGGAATTTTAATAATATCGTTTCAAGACACTTGGGCCGCATTTTGGCGGTATAGGTGGCGCTAGTAGCGCCAACCCGATGACATTACTAACTTCTGAATGCTATATTTTTAAATATTTTGATGAAATTTAAATAGTTTATTAATTTGCCTAATATGGGTGCACGATATTGAATCAAATTATTAAAAGTATAGCCTCGAGAAGATTAATTGTTCACGCGAATGAAAGTAGACCCGGTTCTCATTCATTATCTGTTATTTATTCGTGAATATCAAACATTTGCTGGGCCCACAATGGTGACCAAGATAGCCGAGGCCCCATGGTGTGGATTCGCACGTTGATACACAGCAGGGAGATCAAAAAACGGACTGACTTCCGGGGAGCAAATTAGAGAGCCTACAATAGAGCGCGGACCATCGCGAGTAGAGTGAACTTTCGATTTTGCAATGGTGCGCTCTTTTTTCATGCATGCTGCGTCAACTAATTGAAATTTATCAAGGCGCGATCGATTTGGCAAGAAACTTGGAAACACTGTCAGTGTACTGGTTCTATATTCTTTATCCGTTGGCTAGAAAAATAGTGACTCTGTCTGGCGTTTAGAAAATACAAGGGTGGCTCTCGACAATCACAGTGTTTCCTGCTTCCGTAAGTTGGAACGATGCTATGCAGAAAGGAATCTCGACTGAATCATGCTTAGTAAAAGGATTGTGAAGTTAAACCTTGCTCTTGCAAGGAATTCCAATAATGATCTCTCGTGTAACCGTGAGACCTGTGATTTTGGACTTTGTTAAAATTAATCAGCATTTCTTGAAAAATCAAGATAATTATTATGGCGATTGTTTCTCCAATGATTCAGTGGAAAATATATATTTATAGTACAGCATCTGGAAATACTGTGTTGTTTTATCCCCACCATGTCGATGCCACGCCCCCAAGGGGCGTTCCTAACCTATCTAATACTACAGCGCCCTCTGACCGCGCGAATTCGAACAAATAATTGCAACAAAGTGCTGCTTTTGTTCCTTTCTGCATAAAATAACGCTCTCTGTCTCGAAAGTTAAGCGAAACAATTGAAGCACGCGATCCAATTACGCTCGAAATCGTTTCTGGCCACGCGATCGAGCGGAAATAAACGTAGTAAAGAAAGAAATAAGCTTAACTCAGTCACTGAAACGGCTATGTACACTCTTGGACACACGATTGCCATCTACAGTCATCTATCCCTAAAGAAAGGACAACAGAGAAAAGGAAAGTTCTCTGTTCTTCTCTTTTCTATCTCTACCTCTGAACGGTACTGCCTAGAGCCTTTAGCAACGCATATCACAGTTACAAAAATTCAACGTTTTGTCGCGCAACATTTTCTTATCCGGGTGTAATCGAATCGTGTTTTTACGAAGAATTCGAGGCTTTCGTCAGCCGGCGTTGCGTCGCGTTTCGTTGGAAAACACTCATGATCGTGTTCTGAAACATTTAAGGCTGCAATTATGCCAGCTCAGATATTGTTTTTGCTTGGCTGAGCTGGCTTTGAACAATAGCAACGCAACTCGTACCGACGAAACGTAGGTTATGTGGAGTTGTGCCTGCTGGAAGCTCCACCGTGTCGCTAGTGTCGTTCGTTGAATTTGAATTTGAAGCCTTCGCGTCAAAAAATGGAGATTAAAATAAAGAACATTTTTATCATTTGTGCAGTAATTAAATTCGTGTCTCGTAACTGACCACACTGTCGATTTCTATTCTCCTACTTCGCATAAAAAATTTACGAGTACTTTCACGGTGATACTGTCATGAATATGTATGAAACACATAAGAGAAGACTTCTCTTTTACATGGAATTCCAGAAGGCTGAACGGAACACAGTGACCCGTTTCACTTCCGGTCACGTACCTTCAATTATAAACAGTTCACTGACGCGAAGAACTTCAGCTCTCAACTATTGGACGAAAATGTATCATTTGTTACAATTATTTTGTTCATTTGTGGTATACGATGAAAAAATTTAGGAAGACGTACAAAAATTTCATCAATGGAAAAAATTGTTATGATATTCAATGAAATGCAGGGTGTTTCAGAAAGTGGTCCCACATTTTAATTGGCAGCCATCTTTATCAAACACCCTGGACTTCTCAAAATTATATTTCTTGAAGAAATCCTTTTATTTTCACCACAAATGAACAGAGGTGTTCACTGAATAGAAATCCTACTAAAAAACATTTTCTCAAAAATTTCAATGAAAACTACTTTCAAAATCTAATTATCATGCCAGCCTTTGTATGGATAACCAAGTACCCACTGAATGAATATTTAAAGAACATAATTATTAATAAATAAATGGATAGCCGGTTGCCCATACAAAGATTAACAAATCGATGTCAAGAAAAGCAAACAGAAACACTCTTTCGACAATAACTCATAAGAATATTGTCAAAAAAATTTTCAGTCATCTCTTTATCGAAAAACTGTCCGCTTCGAAGTCGAGCAGTTGCACGCTGGCACAAAAGCAACGTCCAAGACGATTCGCTACGGAAGTGCGCATATCTTTTTCTTTTTTTCTGGAATGCAATTAGTGTTTCTCGATCATCGTACACTTTTTCCAAGTTTTTCAAATATCCGATCAAAGAGACGCTTGTCTAACTCTATACCTGTAGCCCGTAGCTTCGTGCTTACGCGTGAACGGCTATCGTTTATAAATATACATTACGTTTAACACAGTATATATATCGCTACAGTTATTTTACACTATTTTCAAGTAATGGTTTCGTGACGGGTCGCATTGAGTCTGTCTTCATCTGACCTGGTCTAGCAAGACGGAGGCCGCTAAATCTACGTCGTATTCAGTCTGCTTCAGAGCACCCTCGCACTGCTGTCTGTCTGCCAAGCCTAATCTGAAATTGCAATGGTTTCAATTATATAATGATTTTTAACATCGTTCAGTTTATTGCACACTTCAATGATTTCAACTAAGAAAAAATCCTTGCAGTATCTATTTAACAGTCGTGTGTATACAGCATTTAGTACATGACGAAATTTTACCAACTTCACGCAACTGTAAATAGAAACGGGCGAAAACTCACGAAAAGAAAGTGAATGGAATGTTAAATAAGCTGTGAACACGATGTGCTACATGTACAGCTATAAATTTAGAAAATTGCAATCTTTTTTAATTAGGAGTATCGAAAGGATGAGAGCTAAAATGGACCAAATACCATTGGTGTACACTAATTTTAAGTTTGGTCATACCCATCCTTAGTGTACATCATTTTAATCAAAATGTGTCCTGTTCGAACTCGTCACTACCTGGACCCCCAATCTCGCTGTTAAAAGGCAGAGCAAACGGTTCAAATGTACCTGAAAAGGGACTCTACTTTGGCCTGCCTGTCCTTCAGGATCTGTTTGGCTGCCTGATTAGTGTCCCACCCAGTGGCCTGCAGAGCTGTGAGTATTTCCTGTTGCGACGCGTCGGTCGCCTCTCGTTGCACCTTCATCACTTTGTTTGCACGGAACTCGTCGTTGAGGGACATCACCAGCTGCTGTGATGCGGCCGTCAGAGGGGGGCTCACGCCGGAGGGGTACGCGGATGCGGAGGGGGCTAATTGAGTATTAACGACCGTCTCGTTCATCTGAGGAGGCAGAACTCGCGTTACGGAAGTCTGTGGCGTCACGGCGCCCTCTTGAGGTACGTTCGTGTGCGTTAGTTGTAATAGATTGGAATTAGTCGCCAGATTACTCGCTAAATTGGACTTGGCCGCGACACTGTGGATCTGCACCAGTCCGTTTTGGACAGACTTCATGGGACTCCAGGCTGGCGGAGGAGGATTGTACACGGGAGGTTGTTTCAGGTGGGGGCTGAAGTCGCAGAGATGACTCTGGACCGACAGATTCCTTGCCGGGCCAGAACGGACCTGAGAGGAGCCGGCCGTCCCCTCCGGATGGTGATTATGACTTAGGTTACTTGTGGAGTTGGAAGCGGACGAACCACTCGCAGCATAGTGGTTCCTGAGGATATTCTGTTGGACAGTCTTATTGTATAAAGTATTGAACTCGTTCTGGGACAGTTGGTCCAGGTTTGGCACTGTCTGTTTCAGCTCTGCGTACACTTGTTCCGAGAACACCATAGTGGCGGGCTTTGGGACGACGTTGCTGGAGTGTGCTTGCTGGAGATCGTTCTGGATCTGAGTTATCCCGTGGGTCGTACTGGACAGAGGAAGATTCTGAATGTGGACAGCCTGACTAGCCGTGGGTAACGAATTCTGTCCGTGGTTGAAGTTCGTCTTCGACACGTTGCACTGGTTACTTAAGTTACTGGGCGCGATTTGTAATAGGTTCAAGTTCGCCTGAGTATTACCATAGGTGCTGTGCTGGGATGTCTGTGCCTGCTGCCAAATCTGACCGACCATTTGCTCGGTACTCGTCTCTAAGACTCGTTGCTGGTCAGCAGGCTGTATGCGAGGTTGTTGAATGTTCGAAGTCTTAGACTGCCAGGAGTTTTGCACCTTGCTAGGCAGGTTGTTGCTTCTGTAATCGATTTGAGGAGACTTGGGCTTCGCAGACTGAGGTGGAGGTCTCAACGCCGGAATCGTATTCTCTTGCAACTTATTCACAGAAGAGTAAGAGTCAGAAGATTCTGGATTCTGCTGACTTGCGTTCATATTCTTGCTCGCCTCTTTCTCGCCCAGGTGCTTTTCCAATTCGGCTAGAAAAGCTGGGTCTAGTTTCTTGGGAGAAACGTTGCACGCGTTGATGGTCAGCTCGCTCAGAGTTTGTGCTAGGTCGTGGTTCGATTTTGGCTTTACAGGACTCTCGTTGGGAGCGACAGGCGGAGGGGGAGGTACTTCAGTATTCGGCACATTGCGGCTAGTTACATTTACATACGTCTGTGACTCTGTTTGCATATCCTCTGGCCAATTCGACCAATTCGCCATGGGAGGACTAGGTTTGTCTATTTCGGTATAGTGATTCTGACTGTACGCGTTGTTCTCCTCAGAGTCGACGTTCACGTTTAAATTAATACTGTCATTTCTGTTCTCCTTACTCAAGTTTATAGAATAATGATTCACGTCTGACCCAGATTCTGGAGCGAAGTAATTCGCGCTGCTCTGGCTGCCACTGGCGTCTTGATTCTGTACACTCCCATACGTCTGAGTCTTGAAGTATCGACTGCTGACATCTGATGGAACGTGGCTGTAGTATCTCGAGTGTGGAAGTTTCATGAATACAGAAGACGTGTCAAAAGGGTCCGAATAAGCAGGATCAACGTTCCCTGGGAAATTGGCGTAGGTCCGGGGATCGTCTTCCTGCCAATTCGTTTGTTGTCTTTCCATGTCGTCGATTGGTTCGTCAAGAATATTGACCACCCGCCGACAGGCAGTATCTGATTGTGCTACATTAGTGTTTACTATCTCTTCCGGAGATAAATCGATCAAACTACCCTCTTGGCTGCTGCTCGGAGCCGAGGTGTTCGTCGACTTCACAGGACTAGCTCGTATATCGTTCTGAAGTTTCGTATAATTGAACTGCTTTCTCGATCGCGGTGTGCCGCAGGAAAATTTCTTTTTCAAGTGACTGTCTGGCGCTGTCGCCACCCCCACGATGTCGGGAGGTTCCATAGGATTCCGCAAGTACACATCGTCTATGTAAATAGGGCTGCCCCAACTTTTGCCGAAGGGAGCACCGTGACCCGTATGAATAAAAGAATTTTCTAGCGGTTTACTGATGTCCTCCGGTTGCTTACGCCTCATAGGATCGACTAAGCAACGGGGGAAGGGTCCAATTTGGAAAGTTCGTTGATTCTGACCCTTCCACCAGTAATTCTCTGGTCGACCGTCCAAGATGACTATCTGATCACCTTGTTCGATGGTCATTTTATCAGTTTCCTCGAAATGATTTACCGCTTTCATTACAGCCGGGACCATCCCAGTCAGGGACGTCCGTAGAGATGCGAAAGTCGGTCTCTCCGATGGTTCGCGGGCCCAACAGCGCAGCATCAGTTGGTACATTACTGGTGGCGTTGCTTCTGGTTCGTGCAATCGTTCTCCTTCTCTGTCGATCTTCCGCAGGATTTCGGACCCATTCAAACCCACCCATGGCTCCTCGCCAAAGGTAAGCATCTCCCACAACGTGACACCGAACATCCAGACATCCGATGCGTGGCTGAATTGACGGGCTTTCAGGGATTCTGGGGCACACCAAGGAAACGGCACTTTCTTGTGTTCAGTCATCACGTAACAATCTTCCTGTTGAGGCAGTGCCCTCATTAGGCCGAAGTCACCGATCTTCACTTTATCCACTGTACTTAGGAGAACGTTTCTGCAGGCCAAGTCGCGATGCAAGAAACGTTTTGCTTCCAAGTAAGCCATCCCAGTGGCCACTTGTAAAGCGTAATTGCAGATGGTTAATACTGAAATCCGACCACCCTGTTTCCGCAGGTAGTCTAATAGTGCTCCAAGAGGCGCGAGTTCTGTCACCATCATCATTGGCTGTGATAACACCACTCCGTACAATCTAAAAACAATAATTGAACGTGTTAGTGAAAATTATTGGAAAAGGTTTAACTTAATCGATTTGCGCCGTTTTTAACAGCTGTACCGAATGAGATTGTGATGGTCCAGTGTGTGCATTGCTTGGACCTCAGAAACAAAGTCTTCTATGACGCTTGGCTGTGTCAAAGCATCTGCTTTAAGAACCTTCACTGCAACTGGTAACACTCTACCAGAAGGAGAGGTCCACTCTCCCTTTCTAACAACACCGAAACTGCCATCGCCCAGTTTTATCGATAGCATCACATCCTTGTCCTGAATCAGACATGTTAACACAGAGGAACCTTCAACCGGTTGAGAAGATCTTTTATTACTTTTGGTACTGCTACCAGGTCTAATCTTAGTCATTAAGCTTTTCTTCCATTGTGTGGTCCTCTTTTTCTTAACAGCATCCAATAAGCGTCTGATGCCTGGCTTTCCTAGACCTATCTTTTCAAGGTCCTCTGACTGCACATAGTCAAAGTGGTGCAGTCTAGTAACCTGCAGATCATCCCTTATCCTGGTGAAGAACTGAGAGAGCTGAACATCGTGCAATAGTTCTTGCAGCCATTCGGTTCCCTCATCATCTGCCATATTCAATTGTTCTAATATCCTAAAAAAAGTTCATATTTTAAATTGCAGAATAAATACAATTAACATAAATAATTACCAACAATTAGTTCTTGGATATCTAGGGATAGAAGAAAACAAAATAAAAGAAAGAATAATTTATTTATTTAGATATTACAGTAGTAAAGGAGGTGGGTGTTATTAATACAAGGAAACAACTTTCATACAATTTCAACTCTCTTTATTTTTGTATTCAAACAATTAGTACCAAAGCCATTGCCCGAGCATATGAAATGGGATAGATACATTTATCATTCATTCTCGTCTCCCCTTGAACAGGAAATGAAATAATGTTTAACTCTGAGTGGAAGCACTGTTGGCGCATGCCATGCCATGCATTGCTTCATGACTACAAACAGAAAAAAACACTGTGCAATATAAATTGCACGTACACCAAGTATTCGGTACAAATACTTGTACACCATTGCACTTTGCAGCCAGATAGGAAAGAATGTGCAACATGCAATCACTGCATATACCTTGTGTTCATAAAAAAATGATTGAACAAAGCACTCAATCATTCATTAACGATAGAAGAACACGATATACAATCGTGGACTTGGAAAAAAAGAAAGTATAGGAGGAAAAATCTTCGTGAAGGACACGAACCCAATCACCGAGCAGATAAAAAAAAAATTAATCAAAGCAAAGCCAACACTCGTCTCGGGTCAACCGTTAAGGTTATCGCCTTGAACGATAAAACCGTCGAAAGGGAAACCATTTAAGTAAAAGGGAGGTCCTGACGAGGTGGAAACATCGATTACCTTTTAACGAGAAAAACCAGCCTCGAGAAAAGTTACGTTTCCATTCCGTCGGCGTGCGTGATCGTCGCTATGGGAATCCGTGTGTTTACGGTCTCGATGAGTAGACAACAAGAGGAAACACTATATGAAAATCAACGAAGGCGACGATGAAATTCGAGTAGAATCATCGCCACTCGAGGAGTCTTGACATTTCTTTTTTTTTTCTCGTCCTTTTCACTTCCTTGTTCGTCTGTTACTTTGCGAGTTAAGAGCAGACGGGACGCGCACGAGAAAAAGGATGCTCAAAAGGAGGAGTAGCAGACAGAGGATTCGCAACAATGTTCTTTTCATTGGATTTCCAACCGAACGGCGTCCGACAGACTTTCACCGTACGAATTTCTCACGCAACGCATTGTTATGCACCCGACAACGGAGAGTTTTAACCTAAAACGGGTTCGCGCTTTTCGACCCTTCTCAAATAAATCCGATCGGACGCGCCTCGTTCGCTGCTTCGAAACGCGTCCACCACATTTTCGTCGGCTTTTTGAAACTTCACACGACCAACACGAAACGCCGATCCGTCCGACGATACACAAATTCGCCTACTGCCACGGACTTATGCACGGTTGAAACTTGATACTGTTCGTGTAGATGGCGCTACCTTGCAGATTGCAGAAATCAATCCGTAAATTGCAACGGAACGTTTACTGCTTTAATAATGAGTTCTTGAGAGATTTGACGAATAGTTTTGTTGTCTGAAGAATTAAAAAATGTTTGGAGGTATGTTTGAGTATTTGGGATGAATTTAGTTTGAGTATATTGAAGATTTTTGTGATTAAGAAAAAGTAACTAGATGGAAGAGCATTGGAAGGACGAAAGGACGCGGGAATGTTTAAATATTGTAATTTAATTGAGAGATATTTAATATTAATTTTAAGTAATTTCTTTTTATAGTTGTTAATGTAAAGTATCATGATACAGATGTGATGTTGAATGTTTGTAATTGGAGTTTCTTTGAGGTTGGTGGGATTATGAAAACGTTCCTAGTGTAGGGCTTTATCACTATGGTTAAGGACCAAAGATCGCGGGAATTTTAAACGTTCTTTACTGAATGCATCATGTCGTAAATACATAAAAATAAAAGAAACTTTAAATGAAGGTTTTTATAAATGATATAATTACTAAGTAAGTAAAATAAGGAAATTAGAAAATATGATTCGAAGAAGTATACACGTTTTATTATTAACACAACCATCAACGAAATTCACTGGTGCACCCGCAGTTTCGCTTTCGATACAATTTCAATTGCATCTTCGACCCGCAGATCCAGTATACGAGCTGTGAATGACAAGGACGATAATTATATAGCTGATGATTATCGTTATTGTGTCACCCACATCGCTCGTGTGTACTCCTTCTCTCTCTGTTTGCATTTTAATACTTTCGTTCGGCCGCCTTTTGTGCACGATAATGAATTCGATTCGCGTCCCACGGTTGCGTCACGCCTGTTCAATAATTCAGAGACGGGTTGCAAATTTGTTGCACCATTTAAGAAAACGTCTCGACTCCGATGCACACGCGTTTCGCTGTATGCAAAATGAAGTCAAGTGAATACATTACCGTCGACTGGTACAGTTCTTTAGCTTGCTTAACCTGATTTTCTTTTCGATCATAATGGGAGTAATTCAGAAACTTTTTATTTCATAATTTATGCAACTCAAACAGCGCAGCCGGGTCATTTGTGACATATGTATAACTAATTGTCAAAAATTTATGGGGTGCTTTCGACTAAAATTAAATACTCCAATTTTTAAACAAAAAATTGTTTCATATTGGAAAATAACATCTAAAGGAATAATTAAAAAAAACACTGACTGAGCCGAGATAACTTTTTTAAAATTCAAATTACATTTAATAAAATGGTTGAATTTATTGAACTGTTAATGATTAAAAGATTAGTAAATTGCATGCGTGATTTTTCAAGATTACTATAATGATGTGAATTTATTATGACAGCGCATGCTTGGTATCGACTTGTAGCAGCAACTGCTTTCGTGAAACGCAGTCATAACCGCAGCAGCAACAGCAACAGAAAATGACCATTAATGGAAAAGAAATTAAAAGTAAGGGTGTCAACAAAATTCAGATCTTCAATGCATAATTCATTATTTCACACTGAATATATATCTTTTTTTTTTCAAGATAAAATTATAATTTCAAATTTTTTAAGGGTGAAAATCATCCTGGGGATTACAAAATTATTTTCAAAAATAATAAATAAAAAAACTTGTCCATTTACGATTTTAATTAACTGAACGCGAATTGTTAATTAGTTGTATACTGCCAAAATCAAATACAATAAAGTTACATACCCCTAATTAGCACGAACTCTCTAAATAGTTTCATTAGTGTTGAAAAAAAAATTTTCGGTCGCCCTAAAAGGGAAAATAAAATTTCGCAACTTGAAAGAAACTCTCTACACTCGATGGTCATTTGAAAAGGGTGCTAAATGGTCAAGAAAATAAAAAATAAAAAGAGGGAAAAAGTGCGCTGACGCGTCGAGTTCGCTCAAGGAGCGCAGCCGCGCCGAAATTTCCTCGCCAGTCCAGCATTGACCGTCGTACGTGTTCGCGTTTTTTTAATCTGCTTTTTCCAGTGGAAAAAACTCTGCATTGACATAGAAGAATAAACATTGACGCAATTTTTATGAACAAAAGAATTTCCAATTAATAACAATTTTCAAATCTAATCTTAAAACCTTTTTCTATTTTTTTATTTTATTCTTACATTCTAAATAGGTAATTTTTAACAAATAAAATGTATGTAAATGTAAATATTGCTGTGTTTCTTTTGTGATTAACATTTAACTATTATGTAAATTTTAGTTCCATGAATTTCAATGAAGAGTTCCTGCTAAAATTACAAACTTCAGTGGTGATGTTTGTTTAAACAACATTGAATAGCGAGGAACATTTGTAGAAATGCATTTGTGATAATCGTGTAAACAATAGAGGGATGATTGCAAGGGTGGTATGTGCCACCCTTTAGCTACGAGTGGTGAATTTTGAGTATTTTTCGACGTTTCTGGATTCACAATTCAACAATTGGAGAGGTAATAATATACTGGTAGTGTAATTTATTGATTATAAAGTTGGAAAAAGTGTTTTTCCTTAAAATTGCTATTTTAATCTCAAAATCATTTTTTTCTCATTTTTGCAAATAACCAAATTTTCAACCCACTATGGTTCTTATTTATAAAATATTTTTTTGAAATCAAAATTTCTGTTCTCACTTAACCCCTTTGTTTTGTCATTGCAAAGCGCACAAATGATCATCAATAACGTAGTATGTATGATCAACCGCTTGTTGCATGCACTTCAAGTAAATAAGTGCCTCTAAATCTCTCTCGTTTCAACCATATATAACACAGTACACACCCTATAATGGTGTTAGAATGATAACCAGAGGGATAAATATTATTAACAAATTTATTATTGAATTTTAAACTCAATATGTTAAACTAAAAAGACTTGGATTAAGTTATGTTAAGGCTTTTTATAGTAATATTACAAAAGGGTGATTTTCTACAAAATTCTAACAAAAAAAAATAATTGTAAGAAATATAATAATTTACGAAATTTCAATTTTAAAAAGGGGTGTAATTCTTAATCAAGTTACGTTTTTAATTTGGAAAGAGGGAGAACAATTAATGCTTCAATTGTACCATAATGTTTTAAGGGGTGCGAAATTCTGTAGGATCTCATGCGAGCTACTCGGTATCACATAAATTGATATAAACGAAAGATATTAATAGAGAAACCAAGACATCGATCGATGCTTAGGCTGCACAGGGAACGCTTCCACCATCGACTTTGAATACTTGTCTTAAGATTAATTAACACTTGCCTGCAAAAAATAAACTTATTTAAAAAAAAAAGGTTCAAAGAATCATTAAATTTAGGAATTTTACCTTTCAAGCCACCAAATAAAACAATTAAAAAATTAAATAAAGTGCCTACAGGGTGATTCAAAAGTCACTTAAACATTTTAAAATTGTAACATTTAAAAATCTATAACAAAATAATATAACTTTTCACGAACCAGTTTGCTGTTTCTTCTACAATCTATTGACACTGGAGATGGATATTTCTTTTAGATATCAAAGGGATCTGACAGGTAGAAAATGACCCGGGCTACGGCAAGAGAGGGGGGTTGGAATGTAGAGGAGGGTGAATTTGTGGAGCAAGCGAACGATGATGTCGATGCACGCACCCTTCTGCCCAACGAACCGTGTCACCCCAGGTAAAATGTATCTATTAACACTCGAGAAACACTGAACCCAGGTTACATAAACATGATTCAAAAAATTGATAAAAAAAATTCACCAGTCTTTATAGATAAATCCCATCAAAGTGTTAATAAGGTGGTTCATTTCTTCTGGAATTATCCTTATGAATAACAAGAGTCATCAAGCAAAAACTCCCTCAGAAATTTGAACAAAGGGGATGCTGTACCGGAAATCCTCCCTCTGTCGGGTTGGCACCCGTTGTAAACAAAATCGAGGGTTGCCCGAAGGGTGAGGAACGCCAGTGGAGGGGACAGGGACACCGGAGGTGGTGCGAGACTGCGAGGTGTCCGTGGCACTCGTCAGTAGCACGGCGGTCACAGATCCTTTCGGAACTAAAAAGCTGCCTGATCAACACCTCGTTCTTCAACATTCATTTCAAATCATCGTGAACTATCTGTGAACAACTTCTCATCAACGGCATTCAATAAAATCATATTTCAAAAGAGACCTCCCCTGTGAATGCACAGGGACCAAACTGACGGACTTAAGAATCTTGTGCATCTGTGTGTCCCTTTATTTTGAATTACTTCCAAGTGACTGAGAAGCAGAAGAAAGTGAACCCAGAGATCTTTACAGTGAGAGATAATCTTTGAAGGGTTTCTGTGGTATAAGGATCGATCGATTATCGAGTAGACTGTGCCGGAGGTCCAAGGCTGATCGAGAGCAGCCGCGATGTCAACGTTACACCGGTCGTTGACACAGTTCCCGGGTTGAAATTCGGACGTGTCCTGTGCTTCAGTTTGTATTAAAGGACGAGAGAAGCTGAGGATCGAGGATGAAGGCTGAAGGCAACAACGGCTACCTCAGGGCCACCGTCATCACCGAGCAGAACGAGATCACCGGTACGGCCGGTCAGGAGACACCCGCTGCTAACACTCTTCAGGTAAGGAAATTAAAAATATTATTTAAATTAACACATTTTTCATCTTAAGTCATGTTTGGAAATTTAGGTCCTTAACGATTAGGAAAATTATTTAACCATAGGGCCTAGGAATTTATCTTCAAACGTTTGTAAATGATCTGTTTGAAGGTGACTTATGGTCCCCGCGGAGGCACTACGACCACGGTTCTTCAGCATCCGGGGAATAGTCGAAGGCCGATCGGCGGGATAACTCAGGCCACGTCCATCACCCGTAGACGAAGAGAACCAGCCAGTAGGCAGCAATTGCTTGGTGTTTTGGCCGTCACTCTTCTCGCCACTTGTCTCTTCATTCTTCTGTTGTTGGCGTTGAACACGAGCCGCGAATGCGTCCAGGAACCACGTATGTCGAATCAATGCTGAACGATACGGTTAACTCCCATAATCTAATTAATCAAACGGTCGGCGATGAGGGGCTTAAGCATGCTACAATGTGACTAGTATAGAGGCTAGGTGTTAGATCAGTGTTGCTTGCTGAGTGAATTGAGTTATCATAGGGAATTAGACTAGACTTGAATGCTTTTGAACTATGATGATACTAGTACTGAATTAGATTCTTAGATATACTAGTAGTTAAGTACTCAGACAGATACTAGGGTATACTAGGGGAAAATAAAACTAGTATGATACTAGGTATTAGAGATACTAGTGGAACTATGCAAATTAGTAGCAAATTAGTTGTCAAGTATTGGATACTCAATGCTACTACTTAAAATACTGATACTAGTTTCCAGAAAATTTTACGCGGGAAATTCAAACGTCGATCAAACAGCTGTTTACGCAATGCATTACTGATAGTTTTTAGGTTATGTTCAAACTGCAATTCTAGTTCAGAAACGAATTTCTTCGTCATGAAAGTTTCCCAATAGAGTTATTACACGCGAGGAGGAGCTTGTCCTCCTCTAGACTCGTTGTTGAACGCAGTAGTACAGAAAACTGGAAACTTTTACCGTAAAGTTTGGCCCGCTTTCGTGGCTACCGCATACAATCTTTCTTTTCCGGTGAGATCCTTCCAGGAGAGTTTAATTACAACTTTACAGGACACCGTGAAGAAAGTTACAGAAAACAGCTCGTCCTCGCGTGAAATTGCTCGGGGGAATATCATTCTTTTTGCAATTTAATCTCCGTTGCACGCCATTAAAGTTTCATTTCGCGCTCACCCGATTCTTCAACACTATGGACTCTTTCTGTCCATTTAAAATTCAGAATCTTAATAACAAAATAAGAATTCTGAAATTTTTAAACATGGCATTAATTTATATTTATTTATCGTTTGAATAAATTTGATGATCCTTCAAGGTCTATCTACGACAGAATCAGTTGCGTAACAAAGGGACCAAAATTGTGAAACTAGAAAGCCAAAATCATCGATCAATCGAATCGAATCGAGTCGAGGCTATCAAGTTCCTCTCGAAAAGGCCGACGTTACCTCACAACCATTGCCCATCATGGTATTAATCGTTCCACTGACGTCCACGAACGATCCATCAAAATTTCGAAACATTGCAATGATTTGATCATTTTGACTGCCATGGTCAATCATCCGGTCTATTTCAGCCATCAATTCCAAAAAATATATTGTTGATAGCATACAAAATTGGTTAAGAGAAATTGAAACATATGCAGGCCTGTGATGCATTTTAAGTGCACAAGTTTTTACTGAAGCCTTTTGAAAGAGGGTTTAATTAACGCAGGTCTGCAAACCATCAAACGATCCAAAGAAGTCATTGTGTCTCAATAATGACTTACATGCTTCTGTTCGAGCTAAAGAACATTTCGAACAGCTTTTTGCGATGATAAAATACTGTTTTATTCGCATACCGGATGTTTTGAACGCAGAAGCAATAAAGGCACATTATTGAAACAAAGAAACATTTTAGTGTCACGATGCATAACATCGTAGAACTATTGTATAACTTAACAATTTTTTAGTTGAAAAATAATTAACATTCTGTTTTATTTTTTAACAGGTCCAAATGTTTGTATGACAGAAGAATGCGTCAGAACAGGTATGAATTTTTAATTAACACCATTTAAAATGTTTTATGACAAATTTCAATTTCGTGATGAATTATTAAAAATTGTTGAAATCGTAATACCAATGGCGAATATTCGGAAATGGAATCGGATCAGAGGTGATTGGTAGTCGACGAGATTTGCGTTGCCCAACGTCGCGTGCCGCACACAAACACACCGACAGAAACACACATTCACACTCGTTAATCAGATTAACTATTCACCAGGGAATTGCCTGCTGACCGAACAGCCAGCTGACTGCAACTCGATTTTCGTTTCTCCACAAATTCCCTGACTCAAGTGCGGTTTAATCGTTGGAAACGCGATCGAACGTGTAACTTTACCTGATTATTTGTTTATCAATCTAAAATTCATAACTAGTTTTAGAGTAACGTTATTATGCGTTACAGATAATTTATCGGTGATCTAATTAATTGAGAGGACACGACGAACTTCGTTAAAACGTTTTCGCTCGATTAATCGGTGATATTAACCCTGGTGTAATTAATTGGCGGCTAAGGGACTATTTAATTATCCTTTCAGAACGATCATTTTATTTTATTTTTTTATTTTTAGTATCTCTATGTTATCGGTTCTGTCCTTTTACCTTGACTGAAGCTGAAATTCAATTTCCTGCCTGTGATAGCGCAATTTTACATTCTTGTATCAATATCAGTTTCAGAATTTAATATCAACATGTTTGTCGATACCCTTCTGGAAAAGTAGAGTTAGAAAATTCTGACGTGGCATGAAACATGAAACGTACATGAAACAATTATTAAATATTTTTTAGGAGCTCCCAGTCACCATCTGATAGTCACTCTATTCACTTTATAGTTATTCTACACTAACTCTGTAATTACTCTGAATTCATCTTATAGTCATCATCTGATCACTTTATTCACTTTATAGTCACTGCATTTCAGTAAGACTTAGAAACTCCAGACAATCCTGCAAAAACTCATTACTATAATCCAGAAGATTAAACTTCCACATAATTAAATTGAATTTCAGCTGCGAGTCTGCTGTCAGCGATGGACCGAACAGCAGCACCCTGCGTGAATTTCTTTCAATACGCTTGTGGCACTTGGAATCGTCTGCACGTGATACCAGAAGATCGAAGCTCGATCAGTACGTTCGAAGTGCTTGCGGATCAGCTACAGGTGATCCTGAAACGAGTCCTGGAGGAGCCACCCAACGATCAGGATAACAACGCCACCCTGAAGGCGAAGATGTTCTACAAATCTTGCATGGACATCCGTGGGTACACCGAATAATTAATTTAACTATGAAGTTGCTGGAAGGAAATCTTGGACTTCATTACAGAATACAAATGGTTGCTTAGAAAATATCTTCAATTTCTTGTTTTCGCAGCTCGGATCAGAGAGATCGGCGATGTCCCGCTGAAAAGGACGCTGGAATATCTGGGTGGATGGCCAGTCGTGGTTGGACCATCATGGAAACCTCCTCCGTACCCTGTCGAGGTCCTGTTGGGTCGACTTCGTGGCGAATACAACGAGGGAGTGTTGCTGGAGCAGTGGGTCGGTCCAGATGACAAGAACTCCTCGGCGAACATCCTCCAGGTGCGCCGGCAAAGTAAGGCCCCTTGGTCGACGACTGCATAATATAAAAAATCCGATTGGTCTCGCATATTTCACTATAGTCAGTTCACTATAAACTACTTTTACTTTTTTTAATCTGCATTTGGAGACGCTTTGCCTCGAATATGTACTGGGATAGGTACTGGTCCTTCCAGTGTTAATAGACAACAAATGAAGGAAATAAGAAACAGAGTTCGATTTTAATATTAAATATTGTTTAAATTTTTCGTAGCTGGACCAGATGCAACTGGCGTTACCTAGTAGAGATTACTATTTGAAGAAGAACAGCGAGGCTGAACTGAAAGCGTATCATCGTTACATGACGAGCGTTGCTGTGTTGCTTGGCGCTAACCCTAAAACCGCAGCCGAAGAGTTCGATGAAGTGATTAAGTTCGAGAAAAAGTTAGCTTACGTAAGAATATAATTAAAATCTTTAATTCTCTTATTATCATACGTTTTACGAGATTGTCACACAAAATTTCAGGCATCCTTACCCGAGGCGGACAGGCACGACACCTCCGCCATCTATCGAAAGTTGACGCTGCGGGAGTTGCAGCGAGAAATTCCGCAACTGCAATGGCGCGCGTATCTTCAGGAATTCATCAGTGCTCCGATCACCGAAGATGAACCAATTGTTGCATACGCGATGCCATATTTTATGCAGATGGGTCGTATCGTTCGAAGTACACATCGCAGGTGATGAGAAAACGTTAATTACAAAAAGAGAAATTTGGTCTATTAGAAATTTCGGGCTCATCATATTGCCATTGAAATTTTTATTTTTTATTATAGGACGTTGCATAATTACATACTTTGGAGATTAGTCATGTCGATCATGCCCCACATGATAGACGAATACCAGCAGAAGAGGGTCGAGTTTAGAAAGATCCTGCTGGGGATATTGAGCGAGGGGAACAGGTGGTCCCAATGCGTCGATTGGACCAATAAGAAGCTTGGAATGGCTGTCGGTGCCCTCTTCATTCGAGACAATTTTAATCACGATAGCAAGGTTACTTTACATCCTCAAACTGATGGAGCTGACATGTTGGAAAATTTTTTCTAATCCTAATTTCTTTGGCGCCATTTTATCTTTAGGAAACAGCACTCGAGATGATCCGGACGATACGCGAGGCGTTTAATGAATTATTAGCAGAAAATCATTGGATGGACGATGAGACCAGAGCTGTGGCCAAGAGCAAGGCTGACTCTATGAATGAGAGAATCGGGTATCCTGAGTTCCTGAAGGATCCTGTTGAACTATCAAAGGAATATGTGGTGGTATGTAACTTGAGATCACCCAATCAATATTTTGAAGCACACTTACCTAGGGTCCTACTTTTGCTTCTGCAGTTGAACATAACCGAAAATCATTTCCTGGAAAACGTGTTAGCTGTGCTAAAGTACGACGCTTATCACAATCTACAGAAGCTAAGGAAGCCAGTTGATAAGAACAAATGGTCCACGGAGCCTGCTGTCGTGAATGCCTTCTATAATCCCAACAAGAACGATATCGGTAAGTAGGTTTCCATCTTTACCTACCTTCGAAACTCGTCTGACCATCATTGACGTCCAAATTGTTACAGTCTTTCCAGCCGGGATTCTCCAACCTCTTTTCTACTCCCAGCACTTTCCAAAATCATTGAATTACGGTGGAATCGGTGTAGTAATCGGTCACGAGATCACTCACGGTTTCGACGATAAAGGACGCCAGTTCGACAAGGATGGCAACATGATGCAATGGTGGAACGACGCCACCATAAGGGCATTTAGGCAGAGGGCCCAGTGTATCGTGGACCAGTACTCCAGATATAAATTGCAGGAGGTCGATTTGTATATTAATGGCAGGATGACCCAGGGGGAGAACATCGCTGATAATGGAGGGCTCAAGCAATCTTTTAGGGTGAGGCTAATTATGAATAATGATAGTATGCTTATTTTGGCAATCCTGGTACCAATGATACTGTTGTCATAATCAAGGCATACAAGAAGTGGGTGTCGATACATGGTGAGGAGCCCCTGCTGCCTGGTGTGAACCTCACCCATGATCAGCTGTTCTTTCTGAACTATGCTCAGATCTGGTGTGGTTCCATGAGACCAGAGGACGCGCTAACAAAAATACGAAGCAGTGTCCATTCACCAGGTCCTATTAGGGTCCTGGGACCTCTGTCCAACAGCGAGGACTTTGCCAGGGCCTACGACTGTCCCCCTGGCTCACCGATGAATCCAATCCACAAGTGCAGTGTTTGGTCAGTTGGCACCCTAGCCACTTAGTTACGTGTCCTTAACCTAACTGCTATTTCATCAATTTTTATAATTATTGTAGGTAATACTGAAGCCACTGAACGGTGGTAAAGACAGCATCATATCATCATAGGCTAACTAATTCAGCTCGTCTCCGACGTAAACCATGATAGAGCCACGAAAGACTTGTTTCATTTACTTGTGATCCATTATGATGTGGTTCCAGCAAAAGGAAACCTGAAATTCGAAAGGATTGTATTAGTGTGCGTGCGTGTGCGAGTCTGATCATGATGTCAAAAGTTACATGTTGTATATACAAGATTTTAATCGTGTATGCATAATCGTTTCTGTGTGCTTCAGCTCGTCGTGGACGAGTCTAATAAATTTTTCGATGAAAATAAGAGAAACTGGTATTTCTTTTCCCTCTTTCAAAATTACCAGACTTCGAAGAATTCTACATGTTCTTTGCAAGGTAGCAGTGGATGTGATTCGATGTTTAGTGATGACTGGATACAATAATAAAATGTTGAAGGCAGCAGTCGAGTATTTGTTGAAAGATTTATTCTATATTGGAACATATCATCCATACATAGCACGGTCAATACCGATCTCGCTTTTTTGTTTTCATGTAAAAAAGGTGGAAATAAAAATAATATACAACAGACAGAAGGGCTCTCCCTTTTTCTCTTTCTCTCACTTTGCGTTATATATCACTTTACCTTACTGACTACACGCATTTACACAAATGTTTATACAATATTATGTACAACATAAAGAATTGCAGCAAAAAGAAAGAAATTATCATTCCACCATGAATTGCCATAATTAAACGCTTAAATAATAATAACAGTACCAACCAATACACGTATACAGTGCATCGGTGAATAATCGAATTCTTTTTAATTAAATAACTAATAACAATTAAAAAATACCATCTATAATTTATGCAAACGAAAGAAAACTAAACGCTAAAATATTATTATACTCGAATTTCATTCGAATACATAGAATCTATTTTAACATTAACAAACTCGTAAGAAAAATAAATTAATTTGCATAATGAAAAGGAAGCTCGGAGTTAATAGGGTAGAAAGAAAAGAAATGAATCAGAAAAATAATTGCAATGTTAACTGTCGCGTGTTCAGTGAGAGAAAAGAAAGAAGAGAAAGAACATCAGTCGACGAAGTCGTCTCAATTAATTAACAAGATGGCTACCAGTAGTCTTCCGGTCTATGTACATGCAACGGGTGTTTTAATATCATTTATGTCTTTTAAAACCACTGAACTACAAGAAGATCTGTAAATGTTACTTTCATTTTACAAAAGGCAATAATTTATTAATTATTTCCAGAGAAATGATTTTACCTTTTCAAATTTGAAATTATTTTCAATTTAAAAAACCTTCAAACAATCCCTGAACCCATAAACAGAGCAATATTCCATGAATTGAATAAAATAAAAATTTCCAATTCTCTTGTGTACCTCCCTTATCGTGTTTTCTTCATCTCCAAAAAAATAGTCATCTCTTTAACAATTGTATTTCTCTCACTCTCTCTCTCGCTCTCGTTCTATCTATTAAACTACACCCTGATGCCCATACATCATAATCGATTATAGTGAATTTTTTATTGCGTCCACGAAGTTTGGATACGTCCTTCCGGCTATTTTTTTTTGTCTTCTTACTCCAGAAAAATATATATGTTTTTATATATGTTCCGTTATGTATACACATGTATATGCACAGTTTTATATACATAATAATAGATAAACATCTTCCTATCTTAAGTTTGCAAAAGAAAAAAGAGAAACAGAAAAATGAATCCTGGTTTTCATTTTAATCTCAACTTCACATAGAGATATGAGTATAATAAAATATATATATATTTATCGTGGGTAAAATCTTTGGAATTGCCAGCAATTTCGTTTTCTCCCTTCTATACATTCTTAGATACTACAGTTATGTCATTTTTAAGAAAAGAAAATCCACCTTTAACAAAAAGACAAATAAATTACAAAGTTTGTAAGACTGATTTGGATTATTGCTCTGTTCATGGTCACTAAATCAAAACAATAAATATCCTAATCAATACGAAATCATTTCTCTTCAGTATAGGGGCATACATAAAGTGGGCGGGCCCAAGGTAGGAGGATCTAAAGGGGGCGTGCCTAAAGTGGGCGGCTCCAAAGGATGCGAATCTAGTGAGTGGGTGAATACAGCGTGGGTGGATCCAGAAAGGGCGTTACCAGAAGATGCGATTTAGTGAGTGGACAAATATGGAGTAGGTGGACCTAGAATGAGCGGATACAGAGGAGGAGGGTGCAGAGTGGGCGGATCCAGAGGAGGCGGGTACGGAGTGGGTGGATCCAGAGGGAGCAATCAGCCCAAATACAATAAATTTGAGGACAAAAATTCTCTCAAATTTCTATTATTTTCATTTTTATGAAACAAAAAATTTGTTAACTGAAAACATCATTTGTTGAAGATTCATCAATTGAACGACGAGTTATCTCCTTAAAACCCGTTAACAAATTAAAAGTGAAATACCTGTATACAGATCTCCTTTGTTCATTAAGCAATAATGAAAAAAAAGAAAACAATAGGGATCATCAATGTACAAAGCTAATTTACAAAGTTATCGTTCGGTTACCACACTGTATTTTTTACGGCTCTGTTCTTCGTCTTTTTTCATTCTTTCTTATGTATGTACACAATGCACTCATTTTTTTATTGTATTTTATTATTTTTTTATTTTTTTTGTTTGAACTCTATGGCTTCTGTGATTTCTCTGTCTCTCTCCCTCTCACACGCTCACCACGCATTCTATGTATTTTTCTTGTTTTTTTCTTATTTCCTCGTCTCCTTACCCTAACGTAATTAATGCTTTTCTATTCGATCGTTTACCGTCTCGAACTTGTTAATTAATCATCTGAGAATTGTCGTCTCTTCCCAAACACCTACAAACTTCACCCGCCATCTTCCTTTTAATTAAAAGGCCTGTGCAATACTGTGTAAGAAAAATAAATAGTTTCTTATTTTCTTATTCTTCTTCTTCATTCTAGATCTTTGTTCTCGTTATTAAAATAAACTTTTGAACGCCGCTTGGATACCTCAGGAAAATAAATCTTATAACGATTTAATAGATCTGAGGGTTGGTACTTGTCTTTTCTTTTCGAGGTTAGAATTCAAGGGGAAAAACATTCAGCGCCCTCTTTCTTGTACTTGACAGTAGGGTATTGTTCCTTTGTTAATTTTTCATCTTCCATTTTGGCGTTCCTTGTACCGCGTTAAATTTCAAACTTTGATAAAAATCTTTATTTTTAGGTTATCTTTAGAGGTACTTTTTTCTTGTAACAGCGCTTTGGTAAAGTTTGTAACCGATGAATTGCTTTGAATTCTCAATTATCGACATCCTAAGTTGTTCATTTAAAATTTCAAATAAATTTAGCAAAATTTTGAAAGATTTTATCGAATCTCTATTTTTGGTTTACTTGATGTACTTCACAGTTATTGCTCGATCTCATCATCAATCATTAACAAACGATTGTCGAATAAGACAAACGTCTCAAAAAAAGATGTCAAAAATTTACCTTTCTTTCAAAAAATGAAGGAGGTGAGGGATGCCCTATTCATTCCTTATATAGTTCACAGTATTGCATTTAATTAACGAAACACGATTAAAAAAATTCTCTAAAATTAACTTTCCTTTCGCTTAACTTCGATTTTCAATTAGGAAAATCAAATTTTCCTTTCATTTCCGCTTGACGTGATTCAATTTCACGTTCAATTACTTTTGCGCGCAAAATTAAACAGCGACCCAAAAACATCGATCTTGTTTACAGTTGTATAGATCGGTCACTGAGCATAAACTTTTCAAATGTTAGTGAAACATTTCCACATTACTTTTAATAAGCGCAAAAATTCGATTTGGATATTTCTTTTCTTTTACTGTTGATTAATTTGTTATTTAACAAATTTTTGCACTTATTAGTTGAAATCACCTGGTTCTTGCTAATACAAACTAGCAGCCGCTAGTTGCCAGTGGTTCTCATTCTATTTTTTAATCATTGATTCAAAAATAATCAAGCTGTTAGTATATATTTGTTTGTAACAATATGGGAGCAGAATCCTAGATTTTGCACCATCTTCATATTTTGTAAAAGTTTGTATCTTCTAAAAAGACAATTGCAAAGCTTTTTAATTAAAGAATTGTTATCTGGAGTTAATTTCCAGTAACTGAAACAACAATGTCGAAAATTGATATTTCAAAAATCTTGAAGAACTTTTGAAACATCAATTCTCCATACCACTTGACTGAATTTCTGAAAGATAAAAACTGCAGTGGTTTGTTAAAATGCCCACCCCACAGAACACAAACTGGCAACAACGGTCTTCTTGCCTTATGTCCTTCCAAAAAATACACACCTATTTCAAAAGACAGATACATATTCTCCTTTTCCTGCTGATTTCGCCTAGTTTTATCTTTCTTTTCGCCATTTTACATTCAGGATTCCTTTTGTTGCCTATCATACTCTCCCTCTCTCTCGCACCCTCCCACCTCCCTATCATCGTGCAACACTGTTAATATGCATAAAGACTTCATCATCGTCATCGTTCAGCAATCGTTAAAATTATTGTACATTAGTTAATTAGTAATCGTTAGAATATAATATTGTTGATGTACAATGTGGCTCCACGTATGTTCATTGCGGAGAACACAAGAGTTCCTAGACACGCGTGAACACTGGGGAATTCCCCGTACCTCTTCTTTTGGGAATACCCGAACGAATTTCCGAGAAATTCATTCTTTTCTTCTTTTCTTTAAATGTAATTCGTTTTTTTTAATGATTTTTTCCTTTTTTTTTTTAAATTGATAAGGTATATTAGTTATAGGATATTCAAAGAGGATTCAGTCCACAGTCGAGGTACAAATTTAGTTTCTTTTATAGGTTAGTTTTACTTATCGAATCTAGAGACTTCTGGTACCAACACTCTTTGTATTCAGTACCAACACAAATGGAATTACAAAACTGCAAGTGTTTTGGATAAATTTTGAACTATTTCTCTTTGTACCACGTCAAAATCCACAGATTTGTTATATTACTGCAAATTTTCATGTTAGAATTCATTCTTTATATAACTTTTTCCATTTGAAATCAACTTTGTAATTCCATGCGTTCAAATTTTTCGTAATTTTACAGGGAGTTTTTAATTTTCGCCAATTTTTCGATTTTTCCTTTTTCAAAATTTAAAATCGACTGGGACTTTTGTTCGCGCGTGTCTAACGAGTCATCTACTTCGTGTAACTTCTATTTTACACGCAACACTGGCGCATTTAAGTCGAACCGCACCGCCGTATTTTGCCGAATTTTGCAAAATATTTCCCCCCAAATTTCTCCTCCACATTCCGGGCGGAGTGCACGCCGAGTCCCTTTCTTTCTCGCATACACACTGCCTTCCTCACGCTCACATACTTCACCCACTTCCGTTCGAGCACAGAATCTGCTAAATTGTTGTTATACATACAAAGTAATATCGCTTGCCATTTTGGTTTTTTTTTTTTTAAATTCGCACGTTCATGTTGTATACACACGTGTGAAAAGTTAGTGCTGGGAATCGTAACGCGAACATTTTTTTTTTTTTCTTATCCACTTCCCTTTTCAACATTCGTCTAATTGAAAATTCGCCTACTATTAATTATAAAAAATTCGCAAATTATTCAAACTATGTATTTGCAAATACTCAGTCCAAAGTACACCTAATAACCGCGAAGAAAATTGCAACGACGATAGAAATTTTTCCTTTCATCAAACGGTTTCAGCGGTTCTCAATTTTATAGTCGCGAACGCTCGTTTTTTCGAAAAACGAATTTTGTACGAACAATATAATTTCTTTAAGCGTATCGCAATAAAAAACAATTTTCTTTCGATCAAATATAGCGCAATATTAGAGAAATTGAGGACCGCTGATGTATGCGTTTGAATATTCCCACGCAAACACGTTCGAACGTTCGAGATCGACATTTACGAAAAAACAGGAACAACGCCGCGAAATACTGAATTGACGTTAACGAATATACCCTCTAAAAAGAATTTAATCTCGATAATTTTCGAAATACAATCGAATCTAACAAACCTAACCTACTAGAATCACAAACGTTTCTTTTTTCTCTTCTACCGCAGCAATATCTGCAATAATTCGGTCGATATTTTTTATTTTGTTCAATTTCGCAGATCGATACATCGATATCCGTCGCTTGGAACGAAAAGGACACATCGAAGTATCGATAACTGATTTAAAATAACTTTCTTAGAAACAACTTTCCGATCACAAAAGGCGATTTGATTCCCATCACTGTTCGCAATATATAGTGTAATGTGTTTGTGTGTGTATGTGTGTGCAACCTAGCGAATATATAATATATATTGTATATATATAAAACGCTCCAAATAGAAATCATTATTTACCAATTATTAATTGAATACGGAGCAAAAGAACTCCCAATCAAGTGTAATTCCTCGATTTTTCAGTTGTTTTTTTTTTCGTTTTCATCTAAAACGTACAACAATAATTTTTTTTCAGTCTAATACATTCCAAAGCACCAATTCGTTAAATAGTTCTTTCATTCCAATATGGCCGACTCTGTGTCCCGACCACGAATTTTCGAGAATAATTCTTACGCGCGCTTACGTCTAAAGAAAAATACGAAAAGAAAAGAGCCTACGCCCAGTTTCATCTAATTTCACACCGATTTCTCAATTTTTTAACAATTAATTTCGATACTTTACAGTAGTAGTACGTCTTTATAATAGTTAGGTATAGTAAATGCTAAGTAGAAGATACGAGACGCGCTTTTAGGTTAACTTTTTCGTGTTCTTCGAACAGGTGCACGCTGGGGTGTACCGTGTATTGTACAACTGATCGAGTTTTGATAGTATAGTTGCTCATCATTTATTAATAATTCCTTCTCAGTTGATACTGAAGGTTGGTGCACCTAACTGGAGATACCTTTTAGGGAAATTATCTTTCGTTGCTTGTATGGAATAGTTGTAAAAATTTGATATAGTTGATGGTAGTTGACATGATTAAATCAAATAATGAACATATATTTAATCATTAATTGTAATTGAATGCAAAGTTATTTTAAATCATTGTTATGGTTCACCATTTCACTGGACTACACTATTCTCCAATCTTATACAAATTCAAAACTAATTGTAAGTAAGTTTCAAACTATACAATTTCAACTATACCTCCAAACTATACTGGTAACTAATTTCAACTATTTTCATCACAAAGCATGTTAACTGCCAGTGAAATTATTATATCCAAAAAATGATAGTGCCTCGAATTCTGAACTATACGTTTATAGTTAAACAACTATACTTCTCGATCGATCGTACGATTGTGTCGTGTATCGTGTGTGTTTCTTCTGCGTGCGTTCCCTGTGATGCAAGTACAAACGTTAGTGTTTAAGTGTTACAATAGCAATAATAACAGCAGTAACAGGAGCAATAAATAGTAGCAATAGTAGTAGTAGTAGTAAGTCGACTGGGTGCACATCCGACGAGGGCAGGTCCTGTGACAAGCGACGACGGTATCGTTTCATTTTTTTGTTTTGTTTTCTTTATCTTAAAAGTCTGGAGACAATAATTTGTACGATAATCAGTACTATACAATTATAGTTAGTAACTCTGTCCTTTTTTTTTTTTAGTTTATCGTGCCTCTTTTTTTATTTCTTTCTGTTAAATCAATTTCTCCTTTCCACTTTCACCGCTACTCGTCGCCACTATATTACTTTTTTCTTTGCTCTTTTTCTCGTTCCTTCTTCGGACTTACTCGTATTATGCCTAAGCAGCGATTGTTAGCCGTAGTATCTTATTTATAGTTGATCAACTATTGAACAGTTCGCTTGTAAGTGTGATGAAAAATTTTGTACGTTTTGGTGTTAGTATTGGCAGCCCCGAAAATTTTGTTAGTCGATTATCGTTATAGTTGTTTGCATAGAGTATCGGTCGCTACTATTCAACTTCACGATTTTGTTATAATAAATCAATCAACGCTTATGTTAGTTATCCACGAATCACTTATAAAGTAGTATAGTTGCAAAACAATGCGACGAAAACCGATTCGTTCTTTCACTATAATTTCAAACGCATGTACTATACGATACTAACTTATTGCCGTTTCATCGCTTCGATATTCTGTTTCTTATACCTCTATGTTCGATTTTCTTTTTTTCATTTTCGAAAAGCAAAGATATACTTCCACGTTCTTCGCAAATTTGTCGATCAACAAAATTTTGAAAAATTGCCCAATGCAATATCAAAAAAGTCATAAATGAAAAAATGGAATTCATTTTTCTTTTCAAATTTCGAAAAGAAAAGGACGAAGAACAGTTTCGATGAAAATTCTCAGGGCTCCTTACATTTCTCTCGTTACAAACAACAATTATGTACAAATACAATACGTGTACGTTGATTAGAAAAAAAAAAAAAAAAGAAAAGAAATGAAGGGGAACGAGTCGCGGCTGTTTCGTTCGTGTTAGAAAAATGAAAACCCAGAAAATAATGCATAAAACTACCATAACAAAGTATAATCATTTAACTTTATTTATAATAATCTTCAGAGCTTATAAGCATCTTCCGTTCCTTGTTCTCTTCGTTTCTACATCTTCCAATAAATTAAAACGACTCCCCTCGTCCATTTCGCGATTTAATATAACAAGAACCTTCATCTTCTCTAACATCCTCTATCTTTCTCTCTCGTTCGCTCTATCTTTCTCTCGCAGGGCCGAAACGTTGCCGTCCAATAAGAAAATACCGTATCTCAACCGTCTGTCGGCTGACTACGAACAAATATTATCTTTTTCTCTCTCTTTCTCTCTTTACAAGTAACGAAAGTATCAGGTTGCGCTGCACGGTGACTCGGTTTCAAGATCTCAGGAGATAAGCGCGACAAGAGGGCGCTAAACCTGTCTAGAAGCAATGGCAAGATGTTTATCTATAATTTGCTTTCTTTATGATTTTAATGCTTTGATGATCAGTGTTTTGTAATCTCAACCCAATGATGTAAGTGTACCACTATCCCCTCCTAGATTTACTCAATACTATGTACCTATTTGATAAAATAATAATTTAAAGTGCACTGGGCACCCTTGGGTATCCACCTATCCCGCCTAACTTATCAAAGAATAAGTGGCCAAAGAATTTACCAAACCAAATGAATTTAACCCTTTAACATTTCTTATTATCAGTGGCATCTTTGACTTACGGATTTGCAACCTCCTGTCGCGATTTCATTGGCTAATAGTCACCGCGGTTGCTCTGATCTATTACCTGATATATTAACACGTTATGTACGTATCAGCTCGTCTATTAGTATGTACAACAGGCGAAAAGAGACATCTAGGAGAAACTGACAGATCAGGGTACCTGGGTGGACAAACAGACAGACAGACAAGAGAGATTGCGGCATGATGCGCATACATATGACACATATTCACATTGTGTAATTCGTGTACGAGTGCATGTATGTGTGTGTATGGGGAGGGCGCGTTTATGTGCATGCCTGTACTTGTGTGTGTATGGCTCAACGACACATTTAAAAGGAGTATTATAGTTTTGTCCCTTAAAAAACAGAGAAACTCGAGTCTACGCTTGGCAGTTATCATGAACAATCGCTCGCGAGAAAATTCAAACTCGAACGGGCGCACATACATACTATATACATATATGTGTATGTATGTATGTATATATAATATAATATATTTTTTGCAGTTTTTTTTTTTTTTTCGTTTTTGTTATCGCTTAAATATCTCTAGATGTCATCTGTGACGCGCAAATGGTAGTGTCCTTCTTTTTCGTATAATTAGAATCGTTTTGCAGCAGCTTCTCGAGAAAACGACGACGACGACTAAAACGACACATTTAGACAATGAGAAATCGACGTCGACGGTTAAAAACGCCCTTGGCAGTGATCGTAGAATTGCATGTATTATTTCTTTCGTTCGCGTGTGTGTGTCTGCCTGTATGAATATGTACTGTCTCTCTGCATGTATGTGCACGTGGATCGACGCTCATACCCTTCCAATTGCTCTCTCTCTGACACTCCCACCCTCTTCCCTCTCACTCTCTCTCTCTGTCTTTTGCCTTCAATTCCTTTCGGTTCACCCACGGAGCAACGTGTGACCGGTTTCTGATTAGCCGAAGGATGCGGTTCACCTTGATTCCTCTCCCGTTTGTGAATCTCTTCGATGTTAAACCTGTCCCGTAGCTACAGGCGGTCGGTTCCCGCGTTTATCGACGCCCTCTGGCGTCGAACGCGCGAACCGATGGGACGCCATGCTGGGAATCACGGTGATGGCGTTCTTCGATGGGCAAAGCCTGTCAACAGGGCGGTTCTAAACACTATGATCGTGGAAGATGGAATTGTGTCGATGACGCGACCTGCCGTCGACGGTTCGTGACGATTTTTCTACTCTGCGCTTGGAGAAACACAGGGATGCATTCCCTTCGGGAACGTTCTTCGCGTTCTCCCATACTGGGACTTATCGACGCTTCCAGCCAGACTGCCCTCTTATTGCACGATCTTTCGACTCTTTACAGGCTAAAGAAAAAGAAACGCAGCTAATCCAGAATAAACAACGTGTAATAGAATTTTAACAATGTTACAAGAAGCTTCGTTCAACGGAAGTTCATTGTAGAAAACACTTTCTAGAAAGAAAGGAAAGAGCTCGATCATTCAAAAATACGAAACATAAAAAAAAAAGAGAAACCGTGTCCCGCATGGGAGAACACAATTTTTACAAAGGTCATCCCCCTATTCTCAACAAGTGTACATCATTGCATGGTGTTCACTTAAAAGCGAGTCGACAAGGAATTATTCAAAGACTTAACAAAGCTGTTCTCACGCTTAAAAGTTAATTCTTTTCAAGAATGCTACTGTTCGAACGAACAATATTGAGTATCGTCGAACCGTGGAGCTTCAATAAGGACATCTGCCACGGATCGACGATGCACGGCCTCTACTTTTACAAGATGTATAATAACAAATAGGCGATTCATCCTTCGTTTTCTCGGCGTCTATAGCAAAAAACGGCGTGTCTGAAAGCACTCGATAACGATAGAGTGAGTTACAGCAATGCGGAGTACAGGTGTGTGCAGGTGGTGTTCCATGGTGATGTGTTTTTGTACATATGTGTCTTCATCCGGACGCGTTGCTGGCCAGGAGTACTCTCCCTTGTTGAGATCAATTTAAACCGTCCAAATTGTCACTATTTCATCTCCATTGTCTTCTTTCAGACTATGTGACCCAGAATAATTCCAAATCCCGACTTGCGGACCCATGACCAAGGAACAGTATGTCCCAAGGTCCAGGACTAATGACAGACAAAGATGATGGCTTCCAGCAACGTTCTGGGATGATGTTCGAGGTTTCTTAAGGATATTTCTCTAGTTCTGAAGAACAGCACGTGCCGCCTTGAAGTTGAAGCGGCTAAGCACGTCGGCGGGGCGATGGCGGTGATGGTTTCTCGCGTTCATCCTCTTCTTCCACGCTATTCTGCGGTGTGGCAGTGTCTGCCTTGAGGCAGGTTAGACGGTTCTCTTATCATGGTAAGATCAGGTTAGGTCCGAGGCATCGAAGAATTCTCTTCGGGGCACCGAACCGACCGGACCGAAGAGAAACGACGTTATTACTTTGAGTATAGTGACACGCCGCCAACGTGCGACTGGTATAACTGTACAATAGTAAAACACGATACGCGTGTGTAGGATGTTTCTATTTGTCCTAGGCGAAGTACTTAGTCATCCTTCCTCTCGTGTCACTGTATTTGATTCGATTACTTTCTCTTATCCTTTTTTATTCCAGCTGTCTCTTGATCGTTTCTCCTCTTCTGTTACACATTTACACGAATTTTCGTTTAACTTACTACGGAATACAACTGCGTACAATCAGTTAATAGCATAGAGTTACAGTGTTACAACATTGAGAATCTTATTGTAATCTGTGTGTCGAATCACGAGTGTCTTAGATCTTTCCGTTCGGGGTCCAAGCCCAGTGTTTCCGACTCCATGGACTGAGGTTAAATGTCTACGAATGTGCGTACGCGCTCGTGTACAAGTGTGAATATGTGTAACGTGTGTGTGGTATGTGTTCGTCTCACTCTCCATTGATGTACGAGCCAGATTGAAAGTCAGTCTCAGAAGCTAATTAATTCTCAGCGCGATATTTGTTCATAACGATCGAGTGTGGTTTTTAATGCTAGCATATTATGTCTCAGGGCCCTACGAGACCCAAGTTGTCGAGCGAATATCCCTTCGAACCCTCTAAAGCTCACCTAGCGCGACCCTGTTCCGTGTTTCTCCTTAGAAAGATCTTTGTTTCCGGTTCTTGTCAAATTTCTCGCGAAACCCTGCTCCTTTCCTCTGTGTCTCATTCACTCGGTTTCTCTCTCATCCCCCGTCTCTTTCATTCTTCCCTTCTTTCTCACCGTCTAGACCAATTTATCTTTCCTGGTCACACCATGCTCTCCCTCTCTCTCATTCTCTCTCTGCACAGATTTACAATATTTTACTTGATTTTGTTGATTTTTCTTTTCTTTTTTTTTTATTAAAAAATTAAAACGGACGGTTAAATTTCATGCTTTCGTTTGTCGGTGAGCCGATGTCCGCTGCTGAAGGCACAAGGCTTTGCACTTGAACTCGGTCCACCTAGCCTAGCTTCACTGACTTACTACGACCTACTACCAACTAGCCTCGCTTACTTTTACTTTTTACTTAACTTCCTACGGTTGCTACTAACGCTTATTCTCTCTTTCTCTCTCTCGCTTTCTCTCGATTTACCTTTCCAGTTGCCACGCACAGTTCGCGAAAAAAGAAAACCCGGATACGCGCAAATGCCAAGCCTCGTCGCGGATTAACCCCCCGTTTCTTTCCGCCATTTTTATCCATCCTCTCCTCGTTCCCTATCGCGCTCTTTCTCTTCCCTCATCACGTATAAACAATGTGTACATGCTAGCAATATATTATTATGCTATGTGTTGTGATATAGACTCTATGGTATCATTATGTATAATCGTATCATCTGTTATATCATCATCATCATCAATTATTTTTCTTTGTTAATTCGCACTCGATTCGTATGTTGGCTGAGTTCGCTGCTCAACAGCTGACCCGCCTGTACTCTTTTCTATACTTCCTTTTCCACAAACTACGGTGCGATTAATCCTTTCTCTCCATCATCATCATCATCATCATTTGTGGTCACATCTCAGCCGAATTGCCGCACGCATACCGTTTACACACGCTCATTCTTTCATCTGCACACATACATTCTGCGTCCTTAGCTCTTAATTAGATTCGTACTCGCTCGATCTGCTCGTACAACACGCTCGCCTTAGTCGATACCTTATACATTATACATTATACATTTACATATCGATTCCGGGGGTAGCCAGGTAAGAGGATATAGTAATAACATAACTGTAGGTAGCTCCTTATTACAGTCTCTGTACTGTCTCTACGTATCACAGCCTGGGTGCCTCGCCACTGCCTTCGTTCTAACCATTTATCGCAGCCTCCTCGGGCTGTACCTGTTGTGAACTCGTGCAACATTTCACGATGCCGAGGTGCCATGGAGTACACCTCGAGCAAAAGTTGAGAGTAGAAGCGAATTTTTGTACGAACCGGTGCTCCTGAGACACCGGTCGACTCGCTGACACGTTCAGGCAGTGGCATGGTGGTGCACTAGTACAGGAGTTCTCTCTGTCTCTCTTTCTATCTCTTTACGTGTCCACGTTTTCTTCACGTCTGGGTCTCGATGATGCTGCTGCACTCCAGCGTAGTCCCCTCGACAACGTCATGCGGACCGATGAAACAAGGATTCAGCCGACGATCGGTTGTTCACCGGGCAAACTAAGGTGTCACGTCCCAGATCTCGGCGAGGAAAAGTGGCAGCTTTTTGTTCTTAAACTTCAGACTGAAGCAAATCTCGCTGTTCTGGTTGCCGAGGGTCCTCAGCTCCGTCAGAACGGACAACAGTTTCGCGAAGATCGTACCGGACTTTGGCCTGCGCCGATTGTCCACGTACGCCTTCAACGCCTCCAAGTAAATCTCTTGGATCTTTTCCACTTTCCAACCTTCCAGCAGGTTTGGCCTTTCTGTAACCAGAATAGAAGCTTCGCTTTGTAGAGCGTTCGGGAACTTTCCCGCGCAAATGTTTTGAGGTTAAGATGTCCTACATGATTTCTTTCCCTATCGATGAAACTTTAATGTAAATAGTAATAATAGCGTACCTGAGAATATAACAATGGCGGTCAGCAACGCGTACTCGGCGTTGTTCACCTTCATGGCGTACATCTGCCGGCAGAAGTGTAACAAATCTTCGATCGTCTCCCCCATACCCGCCAGGTTATAGCTCTCCCTACTGTATGGCTGATTGTTGGCGAATATTATGCTGTCCGTCTGCACATCGTACTTCCTCGCCATCCGAAGCATCATCACCTCGCTGGAGCAGGCCTTCAAAAGGGCAATCTGATCCTCTCGCATCAGCTCATCGAAGCCAGGTAACCTTTTCGAGAACTCGACGATCAACTGCACCGTCAGGATCGTGATCTCGGTGATGTGCCTAAACTTGTAGTCACTAATGTCTTCTCCTTCTGAGGGCTGATTCTTAAACAGAAAAGCAACCACCAATTTTTATTGTAGATGAACTTTTATTCGAACCAATACTCTTAGGCATGAAGAACTTAAAGCCAAACTGGGTGGATGTCCATACTGGAAGTTGGTCCATGTGGGGACAGGGGATTCCAGGACATATCAGTCACCTAGTCTGCAAAAGTTTCATACTCACCGTGATCCTCTTGAGATCCTCTTCACTGGGTTGCTCGTACTCGTTCTGGAAGTACACGAGCCTGTGTATCAGCTCCTCCTGTTCCGGACTGATCGGTTTCACGTAACCGTAAGGGCTGACCGGCGTTAGGATGCCGCTGCTTCCGGACGTGGACAACGATTCGGCCTCGGCTGGCTCGATCTTCACGCCCATCGGCTCGGCGCGTATTCCACTGCCCGGAGAACCGTTCATCGTTGTACTGTTCGGTTTGTCCTTCTCCTGCAATGAAACATTCGTACTCTGTCATCGAAGGTGTCCCGGACTCTACCTAAGGACTGAAAAACCTGATGGACATGAAGGATCTTGAAGGGTACCTTCTGTGCTTTCTTTTCCTGACGCTTGACGGCGCACTGGTACTCGGGCACGACGCATTCTGGCCTCATGCCGACCGTCAAACACTTCTTCAACCTGCATTCCTGACATTTGCGCCGCATGTACATGTCGATCTCGCAGTTGTTCCCGTATTTACACTGATAAACCGCGTTTTTCGTGATGCTGCGCCGGAAGAAGCCTTTGCAGCCCTCACAGGTCAGCGCGTTGTAGTGATACCCGGAGGCACGGTCGCCGCAGACGAGGCACAGTTCTTCCTGCTGTCTCGGCGTGGGTCCTTTCTTCTTCCTGGCGTCGCAGCCATCACTGCCACCGCCTCCGCCGCCTCCTCCGCCTCCTCCACCACCGCCTCCACTGCTTCCATAGCCGTTCAAGGAGCCAGGCTGCGACAGCTCGTCCCTACCTATAATCAGGAATTGAAAATCGTATTAAACAAAGTTCTTCAATAAAAGATATGAAGGATTCTGAAATTCTAGGTGAATTTCAAAGCTGCAACGAAGATTGCTATTCGTGAATTATGGGATATCCTGCTTATCTATGTGGGCCTTAGGTGTTTTATCGAGAAACCTCGAGTTTCTAATGGAATTTTCGAAGCGGGCGGAACACGCTGTCGCAATTGGCCCGCGCTAGTTCCTCGGGAGGTTTCCGGCGATTACACGAGGAGAGGCGTGTAACGCCCGTAAGCAAGCGGGTTCTAGTAACCTACGTGGCGACACATCGCTTCTATTACCCCCTTTATCCGTGAAACCCGTCGAATGGAACGCCGCGCGGTAGAAGTCACGGTCGGTGAAAGTACGCCACGCTCTGCTCTGCTCTTGCACGCTTACGTGCCTTCTTTCAGCGAGGCGGAATCGAACAACGCCGGCGTGGCTTGAAGCTTCAACGACTGTTGAGGAGGAACGTGACGAGACGTTCGAATCCTCAAGTTCGGAAACAATTGAATATAAAATTTTTTTTTGGAAACCTTGAATTATTTGGACGGAGAATCATTTTAGGTAGAAATGTATCGATTTTTTACTTAACCCCCAACTTATGTAATATCTAGGTAGTTTTAAGAATATTAAATATAATTTTATATTTAATCATATTTACTGTAATTTTGAATGAAAGTATTTAAGTCTGAAAATTAATTTCAGTTTTTTTAAGAGGAAGGTCAACCTAAAACCCAATTATTCAGTCTTCCAGCGTTTCAGTCGGAGCTTAACAATAGTCTGAACATAGAATACAAAGAAGTCGAGAACAGATGATTACTATAAATCAATCAAACGCGACGTTTTAAAAGAATGGCGTGGGTTACACGACCACATTTTATCTCTTTTTGTGGCGATTGGTCCTATAACCATTTGTACCATCAATAACGTCATAAATCATAGAACGGTACCTTGAGAACACTGCAAATAACGAATGATCTATTGCTCATCCATTTTATCCGTTTCCTCGATACATTTCTACATTTCATTTAATGAAAAGAGATTCAAAAATATTTCAAAAATACCCTACAAATTTAGCCAAAGGATTCTACAAACTCTCTAAGTTTCTTAGAGTGATGGACTTGATTTTCTCTGGTTGCGAAAAGCGAATGTGCTCTTCTCGACGATTCCTCGAAGAGAAGAGTCTGAAGACGAGTTGCTCGCATCACCCGGAAATACTAATCGCCGTGAAAACATCCGGCTGGAACACTGAGACACTGACCGGGCTAGGTGGTCACTCGGTTATTATCCCTTCTTCATCGTCCAACCGATTCAATTCAATCTTTTCACCTGTGATTGCTTAACTCCTTTTATTTTCCTTTTCTTTTTGCTTTCACCGGAAAATTGGAGAAATTTTTCCCCTAACCTATCAATTTATCGAAGATCGTAATATACCGACTGAGGATATTAATTTCTTAATTTTCTATTATTTGCTTTCACAAACGTGATTATGATAATTTTCAAGTACTAGATTTCTTTATTCATCACTTTTGCTAGATTTATTATATGGATTATTGAAATTGTAACGAAGAAACTAGAGTCCGAATAAATTGTTGTTGTGGGCTCAAAACCGATACCATAACGAACTTGTGTACATATTAGCAAGTAGCACATAACGATTCTATGTAGAGCGAATAGACCTCTCGTTTCTGTGCTTCAAACAGGTTTCCTCTGCTCGATGCTGGATCACCGTTGGGATTCTTGCCGATTTCTCGCTTCTGAATCAAAGTCACCTATACAGTGTGTTCCTTTTAACCAGAAATGTAAATACATTTTTTACTTCTGAGAATGGAAAGTTTCAGTATAAGTAATTGTTGTTATATTTTAAAAATTAATTAAATTACAGACCTAACCTAACACTGCCATAAATTGTTTAAAGATCTATACAATATTATTCAAATAATTTATTAAAAATATACTTAAACTCCTTTTAACAATGACAAGTAATTAATTAATTTGATTTTAGTAGTTCAAATTTAACACAGAATATCCAATGGCCAAGAAACATTTCAACTTAAAATTAGAAACAGAGGTTAGGATCTGCGAATTGATCACTCATTTCTCTTCTAGTTCAAATAATTCTGTTCAGTCTCACTGAGAAGTTTCAGACCTTTCTTTAGACCCCTCCGAATCCCCATTTTGCACTCTATAAATACACAAGACTTATAGGAAAGAAGCCAGTGTCAAGGTCGCTTGCGAGACAGACTTGCATCATTCTTTCCTTGATATAACATAGTAGGGTTCGAAGGTTCCTAACCTAACTCTTTACATTTGCATTTTAGACCCTTCCTTGAATTATGGTTGCCCTAGTGACTCCATGAAACTTGGAATTAAACCTAGTCTAATACGGGTTAAATCAATCCTTTGGTGATCACAGTTGCCCTTTAAAAATTACTATCCTACAAAGGATCAGTGTCCTACAATATCGAATACCTTTAGGGACCTACATTTGTCAGGACTTTTTGGTCCATTTCAATGACTTCTATTAACTATACATAAGTTCCGACCAATAGTTCGTTAACACCCTGTATAAAGCGACTCGACGTGGCACCGCTCGTTTCTATACCCTACGCAGCAAGGTTTCCGTGCTGGTTAGTAGCTCTCTCACGGCGGAGCAGTGAGCGGCCTTGACTCTGGCTCGCTGGTTGGATACCTGTGTGGCCGCAGGTACACCATTACACGCGTTCCTCCTCCTCTCTGCCATTCGCCCATCTCTGTCTGTTCAATAGGCTTGTCTAAAGCCGCGTACATATCAAGCAACAGGGTGATTCCGTCGGTAGTTAACCCAAAGTCACTGCCGCAATTCACACCGTGGCAATCATATTAAGTTAGTATATGGGGGCTGCTGACCGGGTTAATACAGCCCCTATAACATCGACTGTTGCCAAGAGCAATGGAGATGGCTCTCTGTGAATGGCAGTACTGCCTTAAGTTTACTAGGTTCTTTCAGGGTAAAAGAAAACTGGGTTTATGACTAAAGGAACCATAATAATCCATAATACTCGCTTAGATTTAATATGAATATGATCGCATTGCCGTTTTAGGAGACACAAATTTTTCCCATATCGCTCAACTGTAAGTTAGTTATGGCTTTTATGGTCTTCCTGGACCATATTCTCTTATACACAGTCACCTTTTGCAGGCTAATGTAGTTGGGCCCTTTGGACATACTCTATTATCTATTTTATCAAGCTACAAAAATGGGATAGTAGGGTACGCAGGCAAGTCACCGATGTAAACTAGGCTTAACACAGTGCTGTCCTATAGGAGGGTCCCCTAACGGTCTCCCACCACTCGCGCCCCCTATCGAGGCCTCCCTTAGCACACGGGCCCATTGGGTGGACTCGTGCGTCCCACTCTTGAATACTGAGTAAATGCGTGTGAGCGCACACATATAGGTAAGAAAAGAACAAGTGGGGGACTGTAAGAACCTGAAGGCTCCTGTGGACAGTGCTGGGGCCTTACAGACAGCGAGTCTTCGCCTCTCTCTCTCACTCTCTCAATTGGCCCCCGTAGCTCATCAGCTCTCTTTCTCCCTCGTTTCCTTTCGCTCTCTCGTTCTCTCTGTTCGCGTCCCGATCCGCGCTGTCGCTCTTGCCGAGAGAGGAAAGCTAAAACGGGCCAATGAGCACTGCTTCTCGCCGACTCGAGCGTACCTCACTTCCTCTCCACGAACGAGGGAAGGAGAACGGCGTGTCCTAGGATATAGAATTCTTTTCTGGACACGAGGGATTTTCTTGTTTCAGGAAGTTTTTAGGGATGGGTGCTGGCAATCTGTTCTGATGCTTGGGCGTTAAAGCTTCAATTCTGTAGTATGGAATTATTACTTCAAGTTATATTAATTAATTATCTTTCATTATTATATAAGAAAATTTATACTACAGAATATTAATAGAATTAAGTCAATGGACTGTTCAGAAAATTTCTAAAAATTCCAGAAGCATTCCTATCATTTTACAGAACAATTACTGAACGGTTGAAATAATTTTAGAAGAATTATAAGCATTTCACGGGGAAATTGTTTGATTTAACGAAGAAAGTTAGTAGCGAGAAAAGGCTGGGGTTCGAGGACGCAGCTACTACGACGCTGGGACAAGATGGACGACTAGCGGCACATCGCTCTAACGCCAACGACTATCATTGAGGTCTCTGAAAGTCTCTTCGCGAAATCTGGTCATAACACGCGAAATATTGCAATCCGTGCCACCGAGTCGACGGCTTCTCTTTCATTCTCGTCACATTTCACGGGAACTGCGTGTCTCTTCGACATTAAAATTCTCCGTGGCTACCGAGAGAACCACGATTTCAGCATCGTTCAACTACTCTCTTTCAACGAATTATGAAATTACAAGCGATTATCAACCTCTGTCTTTTTATCTTTTATCGTTTGACAATTCTAGAAACGTTCTGTTCTCAGATAATTGTGTACTATTAAGGAAATGAATCACAATGTTTGACCTCTTTTTGTCATAGTTAAGGAAGTTCTCTAAGTTTCTTCCTAATTAATTTGCTGAAAGGAAAACCCAACCGATAATTGTTTTTCGATGTTCGTATCAAATACGTAGAAACAAGAACACACGTGACCTTGCTTTACCCTTCCTTGTCCCTTTAAATGGCGATACCCATCCTATATGTTTAATTCTGTGCGACTCGCACATGTGACTAATGGATGTCATTTCCGGTCACGGTCCACGATTTGATAAGATCTGAAAACAAAAGGAAAAAGGCGACACACGCGACGATCATCCTCTTACAATCAGAGGACAAACATGGGCGCAGTTGCATGGGATAAAAAAAATTCCATTCCAATACTGCGCATTTGACAAGGAAAAATAAAGATTTTTCCAAGATGTTTAAAATCATAAACGAAAGCTGTCCTTTCGAATTTCCGTTTTTCTACTAAATCCTGAAAAGTACGATCTTCGTTCTCGCA